AAAAAAAAAAAAAAAAAATAAGAGCTCTCAGATATGTCAAGGTAGACTGGGGGAGTGTGTCAGTGAGAGCAGCCGCCCCTTTTTTTCCTTAACGGTTTTCATGTTGGCAAAATACCAGTCACTGCTGTTGGTTTTCCCTTAACTATTCCAACTGTCCCCCAAGTAAATTTTTTTTTTTTAATTTAAAATTTTTTTTTTGTCTTTTTGAGACAGGGTCTCGCTATGCAGTTCAGGCTGGCTTTGAGCTCACTTTGTAGCCTAGGCTGGCCTCAAACTCGCAACGACCCTCCTGCCTCAGCCTCCCGAGTGCTGGGATTACAGGCGTGCTCCACCATGCCCAGTTCCCCAAGTAAATTTAAAAACTCCATTTTGAGATGAAGTGACTGCATCAGTCACAGGTCAGGTCACCAGTGACAGAAATAACTTTAGAATAGGTACAACTGAGTGGACTCCTGGAAATCTGAGGACAAAGGATGACCCCAGAACTACCAACAAAACAACCGAGGAATGCCATTCCTGATCTGCTACTCCAAGAAAGTCCTCCACTTCTTGCCTTTCTAATATATCTCTTTTGACATCTTTTGGCAAGGCAACACGGACAGAGCAAAAGATATTGTCACATACGGTTGGTACCTGATTTGCTCAACTGCCCTCTTAGCCAGCTGCTTTAGAAACCATGACCTGAAGCCTGACCAAAGTTGACAGTGACTTCTGGAAAAGCAGCTAGGCATCCCCAGCTTTGCAGGCCACCAAGGTAACTCTGTGGTGAAGGATGTCAGGCAGTGCCTCCAGATATATGAAAATATCCAGTAACTGTAATTCTTGGGAGAGGCGGAGGAAGGATTACAAAATACAATGATAATATGGTACCAACATAAAGCGATTAGAAACGCTAAGTAATTCTGTTCTAAAGAAAATGGTTCCTCTCTGTTTAGCCGATTTGGTAGCTGCCTAGAAGCATCTTTTTAAAAAGGTGGCTAAAGGCACTCCAGGCGAGTTAGAATGGCTTCTACCCGCGAGAGCAGTTTCCTGGTACCCTTTGCTTATCTTTCACAAGCATCTCCAATACAGAGTTTTAACATTTATAATGTGGCAGAAACTTTACTCTCATTTAATTCAACCTTAAAGACTACTAAGACAACCCAATGAGAAGGGCATTGTTCTCCCACTTAGAGATGAACAAATCTGAACACTTACATGCACCTTACCAAACTTCCTATGGCTAGAGGGGCAGACCTGGTATTCAAACCTAAGCATTGCTCCAGACATCAATGCTTAATTGTTTTTCTACTTCCAACAATCAGCCCATCTCAGCCTCTCCTTATACTCTTCTGCGCGGTATCAGAGATCCAGTCATTCAAATGTGATTGTCTGTCCAAATTTCTTAGTACCTATTTTTAAATAGCAACCATAATAGAAAACATTTTTTTCTTTTGAACCTTATTAATCTTGACACTAATTGCTAAAATTATTTTTGACCCCTGAGGTTGCAATCCAACCCACCAACATAAAAACCCATCACCCAGGAGATAATGATTAACCAGATGCTGTATATGTAATAAAAGCAACACTGTCCCTTCTGTCCATATGACATCCTTTTTTCTCGCCTCTTGCAAAGCCTTCAGAATTTCTCCCCAAAATCGGTGGGGTGCCAAAGGGAAGAAGTGACAACCTAGAGCAGTGATGGTGAACCTTTCAATAACAAACAGCCCACTTCCGCACATGCGCCATTAGGTTCACCACCCAACCTAGCGCATCTCTAAGTAGACTTGGGTGTTCATTCAGTGATCATGTTCGTTCAGTGACCATGTGTTAGGTGAACATTTTGAGAGAAGGGAATAGTGTGTTTTAGAAGTATGTTTACTTTAAAAATTATGTCTTGTAACTTGACCCAATAACTATTTTTCCCTGCCTTGTAGTCGTCAATATACAAAATAGATTTAGGCCAATAGTCATATAATTTCCTTTAGTTAAAAGAAATGAATGTAGACAGTGGATTAGTGACTACTAAATGTACTTTAAGGGGCTGAGAAGAAGCTGTGTAGTGTATTTGAAACGCTCTGGTCAGGTGGTGAGGCAGATGCTTTGAACACTATCATCTAAACCCACATTGTCAGCTGGCATGGAATGTAAGTAATTTTCACTGGCCAATGCAGCTTGGAAGGTCATTGGTTGGCTACGAAGGTTTTTAAGAGGCAAAACCTATGAAATGAGGTGTAAGAATCTGCTAGACCCCACAGACTAATGGCTTTTGATCAGTACTCAGGTCTAGAGTTCTCTTTGCTTCTATGTCCCACTTCCCCACATTTAGGACTCTGTTGCCTGATGCAGCCAGCACACCTCATTCTACTTTAAGAGCGTCACTGCTTTGGCTCTACCAGGAATCTTCTTCCCAACATGCTCGTGGGATTACTTACAAGCAGAGATGGAAGTTCCCCAAGCATTCCAAAGGCCCTGACTGCTAATAGATATTCATGTGAGAGACTATTTTAGACTTGCTTTTATTTCAGGTAGTCAGGAAACATAGATTTACCTTCCGTAATAGCTGGAAGCCACCTTCCAAACGGGACAGGGGAATGACTAAATTGGCCTATAGTTTGCAATGCTATAAAAGGAAACAGAGTCATTCAACCCTTAGCCTGTAGTGAGGGTCAGCTTTGATCCCCTAGCGCTTCCCTTAATATACGGCCTGACAGAGGATCTCATGGTCAGTAGATGAATACAGAGTTTTAAGAGCTACACAGAAAGCAATTCAGTTATTGTAAAGGTCAAAGTTATTCACTGCCAGTGGTGCTCTTAATATAGTTAGGAATTTTATATTTCCAGTAATTGCACTTGATTACTTAGAAGACTTTCAGTTTGTTGATGATTGCACAAGTTTAAAAATATAAATGATAGGGCTAGAAATGGAGCTGGTGGGCGCCCAGCATGCACAAGGCCCAGACTCAATCTCTGGTATTTTGGGGGCAGGGGGGAACTACTGCTTAAAATTGGGGTTTTTTTGCCTTTTTTTGTTGTTGTTTTTCCGGTATCGGCAATCGAACTCACAACCTTGCGCTTGCCAGGCAGGCACTGTGCCACTGAGCTAAATACCCAGGCCCTACTGCTTAAAATTTTAAATAAACCTATTCTATATATATGTCAGCTCAACAGAGTGCTAGGAAAATATTGTTGAGATTAAAGCAAGGGCAATTTGAAAATTAAAGAATCAATCATGGGACTGGGGGCTGCTCAACAATACAATACAGTGCATTTGAGAGGCCCTCAGTTTGATCACCAAGACCACACACACACTCTCTCTCACACACACACACTCTCTCTCTCTCACACACACACACACACAGATACACTCAGATTCACACAGATATAGACTCACACATACCCCCTAGACAAACAAACAAGAAAAGTCAACTTATATTGTAACATATGAAAATCCTAAAAGTAAAACTATGGCAAATATTTTATTTGGTGTTTCATGCTAGGTCAATTTAAACAAATAAAACAACTTTGTTGAACAGAATTTTTTTTAATACAATGACTATGTGTACACAGACAACTGAGAATACAGAAAAAACCCAAGTTAATGTTTTAACAAAGTACAAGCTGTTGCTAAAAATCATACACTTGGATTTAAAAGAAACAGTCCAAGAGATGAATAGTCTCTCATTCAATCTAGTAGCTGAACCAATCCGTCTTTTAACAAAACCAACACATTATACTGGTATAAGTTTATCTTTCTTTTTTAAACATTCCACGTACACACATGTATTTCCTCAGTGTTCCCTCCCTTTCTACATTTAGTCATTAGTTGTCTCTTATATGGGAAAATAAAATTGAATTTATATTAGCAAATGAAAGTGCAAGTTTGTACAGCTAGGCTCAGCAGCAAAAGTGAAGAATAGTGATGCAAAGTGAAAGCTGACGGCTGCCACACAGCGCGAGGATGCCCGTGAAGGCCCTCGCCCCACGCGCCACACGGTCAACCTTCCACTGTATTTCCATTGCTCTGAAACGAGCAAAACCTAATTCTTTTTTCATTTAAAGAAACACGAAATCTCCCCCCTCCCCCCCGTATAATTTGAGATCAGGTAAGGCAAAATAAGTCCCCACCATCCTTGGGGACAGCAGCAACATACAAACGTCAGAAGTAGCCCTGAATCATCAGTGACATTCTCTCCCAGTACCCTTAGAAGGAATGCATCTCAAAGCAAGTCTGCAGCGTCGTCACATTGTTCTAACTGATCTGATTTGTTTGGAAAACCTTATAAATACGTTAAGTAAGAGGAGAGTAAATTATGTTCTTGCTTTGAAAAAATAACTTTTTTTTTTTTTTCCTTCACATTTTAAAACTTCTTAGGATGCTTTTTGTAAAAGGAGCTGCAAGAAGAATGCGACTACTAGGTTCACAGAATGTCCATGTACGAGGTGCATTTACAAGAACCCGGCAGTCTGCCTATCATTTGCCTCTACAAATAGAGCTTTCTGCAACAATATTTAAACAGGTTTAATTTAAACACCTCCTCTAGTCACTCTACTTGTAGAGAAAAGAGGTACTTCTTTTTCAAGTATTATATTGTAAAAGGTAATTTTTTTTGCCAATTTTATATGTTAAGCTTCTAAGAACAAAATAGCTCTGTGAAAAATCATGCTTAGTCAGCCCATTTCTTTTAGAGTTGAATGCTCTTGTCTTTTAAAGGATGCAGAAAAATATCGATTTGCTAAGAAGGAACACACTGGAAAAAGCCATTTTAAAGTACTGTAGAATAAGGAGCATTTATTTCTTTCTGTTGGCGAAAATTATTAGAAAAGCTATCCAGTCTGTTGTCATTAGCTGGTTTTAAAACGTCTTTTCAAAATGATGGTCAAGCAATCTTTAGAAAACTGGAAGAGGGGATGCTCCTTTGTGGCATGAAAGGAATTCCATTAATCGTAGAAACTCTTACTCAATTTCTGCTTTGGTGCATCAGAAGAAATGCTCATATAACTTCTAGGAGAGGAGACAGAAGAAGAAGCAGATTAATACGACACTTACTTAAATGTTATTGAAAGAAAATGACAGTGGTATCTTACATTTCCAAAATATTACCATGTTGTTATATATACTGTCTTATATAAGAATAGGCAGCTGTCTTAGGATTCACAGCCTTGTATTTAAGTGAATTCTACTACTTAAAAGAAAACACATGGCCTTTCCTTTACTCCAACCTAGGCCGCATCATTTACTTTTCTACCCTGCATATATCAACTAAAGGTTTCTTGGAGATTAGGGATTTAAACATTCATGTGTTGATATCCTTAGTATCCGATACTTAGGGTTCCAGGGAAGGGAAGAACAGTGGGAAAGAATTCACAGATAACTGACAGGGTGATTTAATAAGATCTGCCAGAAGAAGCAGAAAAGCACATGGACTCCCTCCCGCCATGAGCCTGTGACATGGCAAAGGCGTATGTCCACCAATACGGCATGAGAAGGGTTCCTCGTGGCTTCAGAACCAGAAACTCAGACCAGGGAGGGACTTTGGGACCTTTCACAGTCCAAAAGGTGGAGTTTGCCAAAGGGAAATTCCATTCCCAGGGTCACGTACATTAGAGGAGCAAAGAAGGTAAGCTCGTGGGTGTTCAACACAGACTTTTTCACCTCCTTAAAGGTTTACTTGCTATGCATTCACAAATGGAATCTAAAAGCAAAACAATCCGGCCACAAATAATTCTATACTGATTCCATTTCAATATCCTGAAATTTTGAGCCAGTTCTGTTTGTAACGGTATAAACAGATACAGATCAGAGTATGAGACTGATCTGCTAGGAAGAGAAGTCAAGAAAATTGAAACAGGTTGAAAAAGGCAGCTGGGATTATGTATCCCACTTATTTCTGAAGTGATGGAAGTGTGCTGCTGAGGGGCAATGACTACCATGTTTGTTGTTATTCCTGATCCTTTTGGGTCCTATAGCTACTGGGCGTTTTATACAGAGATTTCAGGTCTGGTATCTCAGAGACAGTGCAGAAAATAATCTCAAGTCTCAAAACATCTATAACAGTGACGGCAAACCTTTTAGAGAGAAGTGCCTAAACTGCAACCCAAAACCCACTTATTTATTGTGAAGTGCCAATACTGCAATGAAACCTGAATACTGAGGTTTTAGTTTAGAAAAAATAACTCATACATTAAAAGAAAAACACAGTAACAGAACTTTCAGTGATGTAAAGAGCTCACTGAGGCACGCGGGCCACAGGTTCGCCACCATTGATATAGTCACTCACAAGAGACCCTTGAGCTCAATATGACTCCTGTTAGGAGAACTGTTCTTATCACCTAAATCATAACTATCCATCACATTACACTTTAAAAAGACAATAACATATGACCCAGGTTGCCAAGCCCAAACCAGGGAAAAACGGCAAGAGAACATAGGGCAGCTCAAGTATTCGAAGACCTAAGCAAAACAGAAACAACCCCAACCTCTTCTCAGGTGGGCAGAACTAGGCTGGAAGGACAGTCTGTGATGGGGAGCGGCCTTGTCTGACACAAAGCACCTCCTGACGGTGACGCTGACCCTGCGTGCTGCTCTGGCAGCAGAGGCTGAGGGTCGCTTGCTGGGTGCCGTCAACTGAGTGAGAAGGCAGGAGAGGGCCTTCAAAGTTCTGTGACCACAGTGGAGAAGGTGGCAGTTCATCCCCTCCTGGGTGTCACATTATTTCTATGGCCACCAAAGGGAGTTCAAGGCAAGCTTACCTGCAGTCTGCTGTGTCTGAACCCCATCTACCTGAGGCAGGGGCCCAAGCGTCCCTTCCTCATCGAAGGCCAAAATTGGATTCAAAGGAATTTCTGGGTTCTCCCTGTTGATGACATCTAATCTTGATGGCTTAGATGCGATAGGTAAGGTTATACTTTCTTCAAAATTTTCATTCTCCATAGATACTCCATTTTCATTTGGTTGTCTTTCTAAATTAGGAGCACTGGGGAAATTGAAAAATCAGAGCAGAAAAGAGTCAGCACCAACACTTTTAGAACAACCAAAAATTATTTTATAATAAACACATTTATCACTTTATAGTTTAAAAAGTCAAACTGATTGACCACATCACATCTAACAAAAATGGTGAGTTATGATGTATTTGTATTTTCAGCTGTTTCTTAAAAAAATCTGACCTTGCCATAAAAGCTATTAAAATGGACAATTTACCACTTCAGAAAGATCACCATCAGTGGAGGGGCTCCTAAGGGGCAACTTCCTTCAAGATGAGCAGGTCCTAACTCCCACTTCAGGAGTAAACTGTCACAGTTATGTGACTGTAGTGGCACACAGAGGAAAAGATTACTCAGAGACGAGACTTGGTCTGAACACCAAGAGGCCCAGAGGGGCTATCAGTTAGATAGGCCCCACAGCCAGGGAGCCTCCCAGGAGTAGCACCAAAGCCAAGGACTTTTTGGCTTTTATTTAGCATATCAGGGTAAGAGAAGAAAAAGGAAAAAAAAAAGCAGTTTGGGCAAGGAACTGTCTCAAGGTTAGACAGTCTTTTGGGAAAAGGGGAAGGACAACGGCCAGATACAACACGCCTCACTAATCTAAACTTATTGTTTAATCATTTACTCTCCACAGAGCCTGTGTGCTTTTGCCCCACAGCTGAACCAGTCACTCCTTGGCCAAGTCCCTCATGGTAAATGATCTGCACACAGTCACACAGCTGTTGAGATACAAGGCTAGATACACAATTGCTCTTTCTTGCTGGTTTTTTTTTTTTGATCTCATTAAGCTGGTCTCATTAAGGGTCAGGCTGGTCTCAAATTCATGATCTTCCTGCCCCAGTCTCCGAGGTGTTGGAATTACAGGTGTGTGCCACCATGCCAAGCTTTTATTTGAGGTAACGGGTTTCACTACATTGCCCTGGCTAGTTTCAAACTCCTGTGCTCAAGCGATCTTCCTGCTCAACCTCCCAAGCAGCTAGGACTACAGGCGTGTGCTACTGTGCCTGGCTGGTTGCAAACACATGATCTCTTGCTCTTTGGTCCTATGTTGTTCTCAATAAGCCATTCTGTGAATTTCTTGGCTATTCAAATTCTGGCCCTCTTTTAATATCCCTAGCTTTCTAAAATGCTTGCATAATTTCATCTACATAAATTGTTCAAGACCAAACTTTCTTTGTTGCTTTTATTGAGACAGTGTCTCACTATGCAGTCAGGTTGGCCCTGAATTCAGTACGTTGTACAGCCTGGCCTTGAACTCAAGATCCTCCTGCCTCATGGTCCTGACTGCTGGGACTTGCAAGCATGTGCATGCTCAGCAAGACCAAACTTTTTCAGTTTTTTCTAATATACATAATTATCAATTTATTATAAAAGCTACATATATGATAAATACTTGATAAAAGTCTTAAAATATATTTGCTATGCAATGTATAGAAAGAGACATTTCAAAGTCATATTGTTACTACTGTTAGTGTTCAATCATTTTTGTAAGAGGTCTGCTGGTACATTTCAATTAAATTTGTTCTCAGAATCACATTTCTCACTCAATCTCATTTAGAGGGCAAGCAAATTCCTTAATTTTTTCTTCCATAGCTTTTTTCCACTTCTTTCTTTCTTTTTTGGTACTGGAAACTGAACTCAGGACCTTGTACTTGCCAGGCAGGTGCTTGTGCCGCTGAGCTACATCCCCGGATCTTCCATTCCTTTTTTGTTCTTGCATATTTCTTGCAGAAGTTCACGCACTTCTTCTTCAACTAGATGAAACTTTCAATCTGCAGAATCAATGCATTGCTGCTTTTCACATGCCAGCGGTATTACGTCAGCTTGATGGGCTTCAGTAATTGCATCTACTTGTTTTTTAAAGGCAACATCCCCACTGTGAAGCTTTTAACTGCATTCTTTTGTACTTCAGTACTTTTGTTCCTTTCTGCTTTAAGTTTCCTTTCCTTGTTTCCAAATTTTTCTTTCCCTTGTTTTACTTGTGTTTCAAGACGACTTAGAAGTTCTCCTTTGTCATGGCATTTCTGATGAAGTGTGCTCTAAGCTTTTCTTATTTCTTCAAATTCTAATTCTTTTGCTTTCAACTGTTGTTTCAATTTTTTCTTTCTTTCACTGTGCCTTTCCAGTTTTTCTGTCACATTATCCAGCTGTAAGGATATTTCGTGGAGTTGCTGAGTACATTTTTCCATTTCAGTGATCTTTTCTGGTAATGTTTTGATTTGTTCATCTTTTTCTTGTAGACAGTCTTTTAATTTTGTAATGGTTTCAGTTTGGTCTTCTATAATTTTGCTCTTTATTCTTTATGTACCACTCTCACTTTCATTTGCTTTTCTCAGAGATTCATTCTCTCTACATAAACTTTTGATTTGCACCTCTTTCCATGACTTTGAGCCAGACATGATACCTGCTGTGCCAGCTCATGTCCCCATACCTTTTTTTCTGTCCTTAGACCATAAATTAGTGATTTCTTGGCTGCTAGCTCATAAATAAGCTGGTCTCTTTCATGCTTGAGAATTTCTATTTGAATAGTCTTCTTGCCATCTTCGATCAAAATTTCAAGAGTACGGATTTTGATTCTGTAAATTTGCTGCTGTTTTCTGTTTCAGTTTGGAAACTTCTGCTCGTTTTGTTTTTTGTTCCTTTACCATGCAATGGATCTTTAATTAAAGAAAATTAATTTTCTTTTCTTTGAGCCCAAATAAGAGCATGTTTGTGGGGCTGGGGATTTAGCTCAGCAGCACAGTGCCTGCCTGGCAAGCGCAAGGTCATGAGTTTGATTCCTGGTACCGGAAAAAAACCAAAAAAAAAAAAAGAGCATGTTTGCTCTTGGCTAACTCAGTTGCAACATTTTCAAAACCTTCTTTAGTATCTTTAAATCTTCTGGCTTCAACAGTTAAAGCAACACGGAATTCATGTTCCAAACCCAAATACTGCTGGTTTAATATATCAATTTTCTCTTGGTATTTTTATTTCTTGCTCATGCTCTCCCTTTCTTCTTTGGCTATTTTCTTAGCTAAGGCATCCTGAAACTCGGCATCACTAAAAAACTTCCTTGCCTCAAGTTCTTTCCTGTGATCCTGTTCCTTCAATGCCAGCAGTTCATGAAGTTGCTGCATTTGCTCCTTTTCTTGGAGAAGAGAAGTCTGAAGTAAGTTTATTTCTGTACCAGCAGCTGCAGCTTTCAGTTCCATCTCTTGGAGAAGCCTCATCTTTGTTGCCCGCTGCTGCCTTTTTTGTCTCTCCATTTTTTCTAATGCTTTTTTCCAGGGTTCTTCAGTGTCTAATATGATCTCTTGCTTTCATTAATTTAATAGTTTTTTAAATTTCATTTCGAAGTTTGGGAACCATAACTTCAAATTATGCCTTAGAATGTCTCTCCTTAAAAATAACCTCCCTTAGTCTATCTGTGGTAAGAAAAGCCAGTCTATGAATATCTTTTTTTTTTCACTTGCTTGCTTATGCAGTTTATCGGTGTAATCCATAAGTTTCTTTTCAGCTCGTTCGGCTTTCTGTCTTATGTTTCTCTTTTGGTACAGCTGTTCAGCTAGGGACCTCTAAGTGTTGTCTACTGAGTCACGCTTGCCTACTGTAATTATTTCAGTCTTTAGGTCTTCTGATTCTTGTACTACGTTACAATTTGCTGAAGATGATCTTATGTATAAATCCTTAAAATAAGTTTGTTTCATTTTACAGTTACACCTTCTAAAAGCGCTGTTAATTCTACTGTGGTGCTTAATACTTTGGATAGTTCTGGCACACTGTGGAATTTTTGACCATCTAAGAACTTTTCCATTGCATTCTTTCCTGTTTCCATAATTACTTTCAGAAGTTAAATCTGTGTTACTTTTTGGTCTGAGATCTTTCTCAGGAATATTATCTATTAAAGAACTAGAAGTCTCTGCAGACCTTTGTCCATGAAAACACACATCCCTGCAGTGGCTGTTGTCTTCATTTTCGATTTTTCCCTCCACCACCGCCTCCACAGTACCCATGACAGGGATTTTAACCGGCGCCCAGTGCTGGGTGGGACCGCCTGCCGACCAAATGTCATGGTTTGTGTCTGGGTCTCATGCAGTCACGGGGTGGGCTTTCAGAGTCTGTGATTGATCCATGACCCAATTCTGGGATTATGGGTGTGAGTGCTACACCTGCCCTGGGGTGGACAGTTTCCTCCCTTTTGCTCTTGTTGCTTCTGCTATCCTCCATGGCTGGCCATGAATGTTTGCCCTCTGCTATGTGCCTGCCACTCTGCCTTGGAGCCAGCTGAGTATGGACTGAAACCTCTACAGACTGTGAGCTAAATAAACCTTTCCTTCTTTAATTTTGGGTGTCAGATATTTTGTCTCAGCAACGACAGAAAAGTAACCAAGACACCAAACGTTTATCTCTGCTCCTTAAATCTGCCTCTAGCCCCATGTTGATCCTCACTGATGAAGTCATTCTTAGTATCTAACATTTTTGGGGTGCATTGAACAGGCAAATCAAATCCTTAATTATCTACAGTTTCTCTTAGACTGTTATTCTTTCCAGCCCCATGCTGCCAGCTTTTTATGTTATATTCTTACTCTAATTTTTAAAAAATGGGGGTCTTGCTACGTTGCCCAGGCTAGTCTCCAACTACTAGGCTCAAGTGATCCTCTTGCCTGAATCCCCCAATTAGCTGGGACTACATGCCCAGCTATTATGATCGGTGTTGCAATAAAACAATGACTATTCATCAAACAAAGGCTGGAGCAATAAATATTACCATTCATTTTACTTGAATGCAGCAGGGTGCATGCACAGTTGTCACACTTTGTTCAATGCTCAATCAGTTACTTGCAAGTCTCAGTAATACCAACTGCTTCAACTTAAGTCACCTTTTCTCACACCTGCCCCAATGGTAAAATACAGCTAATGTAAATCTAACTTTTCCATTGAAAAATATTTTTAACAGAGCCCTGTATCTGCCTGAAGAAAGTTTACTTTCCCTACTTGAAGAGAAATGATGACTTTGTGGAATACACTAAAGCATCTCTGACTTGACTATCTTCGTATGTTTTTGTTAATTAAACCTTGTACAATTTTTTTAAAGAAAAAAAAAAAAAAAAAGACACCTGTCCTAAATGTTTCCCAAGGCACTGCAAGGTCTGAAAATACTTTTTGTGAAAGAACAAAAAAATGTGTGATAGCGCTTTTCTGCTATTTCACCCACTGAGGAGGGGAGAGGAGGCCCGGCACTATACGTGTGACTGCATGTGTGCACACACCCACACGCACCTGAGCGCATGCACATGTGCCTAACACACGCTGCTCTGTCTGGGTCTTCACACCTGTCCTGACCTCGTGTTCTTTCCCGGTACCCATGGGTTCTCTGTAGCCAGAGAACAGTTGTGGTTCTCCACCCAAAGAATTTAAGGAGAAGTTCTGGTAAAAGGTAAAGAACAGGGCTGTATCTCCAAGCCTTTCTTCCTTGGCCGTCTTAACCCCTATTATCTTGCAGGCCAGCATGTGTTCGGTCATAATAGCAATGGCCAAACTCAGATGTGAGTCACCCGCTGACTTCATCCCCCATTTCATGCCCACCTGTTCTTCCTGTTAACAATCAGAGGACTAATTGTGTCAAATGGTTTGGATGACCAGTCAGGTAACATTCAGGGTACAGGGAGACTGGCAGAAATGATGAAAAAAACTGGAGTCAGTGGGGTGAGGGGTTATAGACTTATGTGACCCCTTAGGAGCACCAGCTTTTAAATTTCCATTCAGAGGTCACTGGCTGGATGTAAAATTCTTGAATATTTCATTCAAATCCTATTCAGAGAAGGGCCAGGGCCCCAATCTGGCAGTCCATATGGCTTATCAGAGCCAGGTCTTTACTTCTGGAGACACAATCATTCTATAAGAAGTAATTTGTATTAAAAGTGATATTATCACAATACATCACTAAGGTATCCAGGCTTCAATTTGTGATTCTCCTGCCTCAGCTTCCCAGAGCACTGGGATTATAGGTGTGTGCCAACACACCTGGCAGGCCAGTGGGTCTGTCAAGTTACTCCTATATTTTGCTGTTTATATCTGATACTAATCTACACCTGCTTATATTGTTAGGTGAAAGGGAAAAATAAATCTATGCTCATCCTTCTCCCAGGGGTTTGACAGGGATCATCTTATACATACGACAAAGGACAATTTACTCTTTGGGTAAAGATGGATGATAATAGTAGTGCATTTTGGTTTACCTACAAACTGTTGATTTTTTTTTCAGGTAGAGAAGACTAAAATAAGCAGGCTTATTATCTGTATCATTTTATGTAATACAATTACGTTTTTGGTTCTTATATAATGATTAAGTACTTGGTAATTTTGCTATTGAAGACAGTTGGCTAATGTAGCTTTTCTTTTCTCCTTTTTTTTAGGTGGGGGCTTGAACCCAGGGATGCTGTCCCACCGACCCTTTTTATTTTTGAGATATGGTCTTGCCAACTTGTCCATGCTGGCCTCAAACTTGTGATCCTCCTGCCTCAGACTCCCAGGTAGCTGGGATCACATCACATACGCTCTGCTACACAATTTATTTTATTGATCAGATAGAATTATCAGTAGCTTAGTAAGCTGTAGTATGTATTACCTGTTCTCTATCAAAATAGAATTCTTTCCAGGATCCTTTTTGTGCTTTCCTAACAATCTCCAAATCAATGACTTGGGAATAGACTTTTTTTTGAAAATCAAACTAAAACTTAAGAAAAATATACCACTTAATATATATGTTAGGTAGTTAAGACAAATTTATTCAATGTAACTCAGAGTATATTAAGATATCTCATTCTCTTTGATACTGCAGAATGCCAAAAAGAGCTCTACTATTCCAGGAAGACATGAACAGTAGGATGAAAGCAACCTACGAAGACAGCAGAAAGCTGACCTGATCAGGTGGGCATCAGACCTCTCTACTGAGGCATTAGGAGCAGGTCACCATGCAATACTAGAAATGGTGAAAAATATCTTTCCTTACCTTTTTGTTGCTGCCAATTACATTATAAAATATTGTGTAGTATACGTTTTTAGATTTAGAAAATAATTTGAGGGCTTTCCATTTTCTATTGGTAGCAAACACCCTCACACTAGAGATTAAAAATCTCTAAAATAATTGAAGTAGATTCCAAAATTTTTAAAATGTCATAGCTAAAATTTTTGAACATTACTAAAAAATATTTCTACAAGTCCTCCACGACTAGATATTTAGTCACAGGCTAAACTTTTATTTACTTTTTTTATTTTAAAAAACGCTCTGACAATACTGTAGATATAAATACAAGGGAAGAGAAAAGTAATTTTTTTCTCAGCAATACTGGAGATTGAACTCAGGGTCTTTGCACTGAGCTACACCCCTTTCCCTATTCTAAGTTTTGTTTTGAGACAGGATCTTGCTTAGTTGCTAAGTTGCCCATGCTGGGCTCACATTTGAGACCCTCCTGCCTCAGTCTCCCAGACTGTTGGGATACAAGCATGCACCATCATGCCTGATTCAGCTCTTTTAATTATTGTTAGGAATTATTTGGTTCCTCATTAAGAAGCTCTGCTATCATAAAAGTATTCATATCTAAATTACTTTTATGATGGAACAAACTTGTGACTTAGTGTAACATTATATATATCTAAAATAGAATTGTCATATGCTATTAAAGGATTAGGATATCCAGATCAGTTTAAAAACATAAAAAGAAAACTAACAAATTACCTCCTATAATTTTAATAGTCACTAAAACCTCACCATGAAGACACAAGAGAGAAAATATTGACTTTTTTAGAGTACAGAATTCAAACCTTCACCCAAAATAAATGATCCTAGTCAGGAATGATGGTGCATACTTGTAATCCCAGGAATCAGGAGGCTGAGGCAGGAGGACTGCCATGAGTTGAAGGCCAACCTGGGATATGTACTGAGTTAAGGCTTGAACACCATTGAAAGATTTTGTCTCAAAAAATCTAAAAGCAAAATTAAATGACCCCCCCAATTAATGACCCAAATAAAAATCAGGATGAAAGAGACCTTTATGTTAGAACTTTGAAATTCTATCAGGCCCAGGAAACTCTGGAGGAGTACAGAGATTTGGTATAACATGTGAAAAGGTCCCAGATGTTTGACTCACCTCTCCACGGTCATTCTGGGTTGGTGCGAGGTGTCCACATGTGGGCTAGGGGCCGGTTCTCCACTTCCTGGTGAGTTTGTGACACATGGGAGTGCAGCTTCCTCTGTGTGTAGGAAAGGAGAGAACAGAGTTACTAATACTCTACTGTCCCACCCAACCCCCCAGGAACCACCACACCCGGATTATGTTCTGACTGTGATTCACCAGCTGTGGGACTTTGAGTGAGTCATTTCAATTCTTACCTCATTTTCCTCAGGGATATTGGTACCTACCTCATGGGCTACTGTGAAGATTAAATATATTAATACACACAGAGAACACAGAACGGTGTTTATCCCATTGTGAGGGTTGAAATACACGCTACTGTTATTTTCGCTTACACTGAATTGGCCATGGACAGAAAGTATATACTGAAACCATAGCATGTGATGAAGATAGCAGTAAGCAAGCTTGATTGGGCGGACCCCAAACACCTCCACGGAGGCGGCCACAGCAAATCACCACAGATACTAGAAATGGTGAAAAAGATGCTTGCAAACTCAGCTCATACGGTATTTAGAATGGTGGAGACTTCATAAATGGACGCCTACTAACTCTGCTACTTGTTATTCCATACTCAGTGCTGGAGTCCAGTTTAAGCTAGTATTGATGCCTGACTCTCAAATCGGGGACAAGCTTACTTAGAAGTCTCACACCCTTCATACAGGTCACAGTTCCAGAGAACTAACTCTGGTATTTTATGGCTTCAGCTTGATGTGACAGAATAACTGAAATAATTGCAAGAGAGTGCGATTTCACGACCAACCTGCCAGAGCTGCACAGAGTCTGATAACTGAAGCAAAGAAGTGATGATAATTTGGCCAGGAATGGTGGCACATGCCTATAATCCCAGTACCTGGGGAGGCTGAGGCAGAAGGAATGCCATGAGTTCAAGGCCAGCCTGGGCTACATAGTGACCTCAAGGCCAGCTGGAACTGCACAGCGAGACTCTGTCTCAAAAACCAAAAGAAGAAGAAGATGGGGGAGGAGGAGAAGGAGAAGAAAGAAGGAGAAACGCATTTGTGAAGCCAGTGGCAGCCCACTGGAGGGGAGTTCTCGAGTGGGTGTGAATTTGCCTGCCTGGGCGCCTGCCCATCTTAGAATTCTCTTTGTAGTACTGGTGACACCACTCAGCCCTCAAGCAGATGCCCAATGAAGAGAAAAGGAGTATTTTATTTTCAAGCTTCTTTTTTTTAAAACTTAGATTACATTTATGTAAGTGTTGATAAACATGGGCTTATCAAGCGACAAAGTTCATCCCTTTCTTGCCTTTGTTTTGTCTTGAATTGAGCCCAACAGGTATTGAAAGAACGGACAGGAATAACAGGAAGGGGAAAAATGAAAACAAAAGCAAGGAGCCCGGCCAGGCACAGACTGCAGCCTCAGCCCCTCAGAGAACCCTCATCTGGTGCAGTGCACAGCCTCACGGGGCTGTTCTGATGACTCGCTGCTTGTCCTGCCTCAGCCTGTAGCGATTAGGACCTTGGAGAGAGCATGCTAAAAAAACGCAATGGGGGTAAGAGGCAACCATCTGGATTGTTCTCCAAACAAATGTAACTATGGCATCTGTAACAGAGTATGAAAAGCCCCCTATGAAGGAGTTAAGACATACAGAAACTAGAATAGCCTCTATTGAAATAAAATCAAATGCCAATCATGGTTTGCACCTGAAAAACCCCTAGAATTTACAGGGAATACTTCTTTATGTAATCATTTGATTTGATTGTTCATTCAGCCCTGTGAGGTACTCTAGCTTTTATTTTTAAATAAAAAAGAGACAAAAGTACTGCTGGTCTTTTCTTTTCAGATTGATAGTGCAAATGAACAAAGAGGACCCAATGGTGAGCTGTCTACCCACTATCTGTATGCACAGTCATGGCGGCCATGTGGAATCATGAAGAATTAGAAGCTGGCAAGCTGGGCCCCAGCTGCCTGGGCATGAGCGCCCCCTGGGGAGGAGGCCTTGCCTGTCTTCTTCACACTGCAGCAGTGCCTGGCATGTAGAAGGGCTTGTTGATTACAAGAGAAAGCATCCTCTATCTCATAAGACTGCAGTGGAAGTTAAATAAGGGAATGCATACAATTTCTTAGGTATAAAGAAAAATAAACTCAAAGCTTTTATAGGTAAATGGATGCAATTACAGACCATACTCAGTAAGTGAAATGAATCAGATATGCATGTGTAAACATCATTGTCTCTCTAGTGTAAGAACCTAAAAGAGTAAATACAATATGAAAGGTTCAATAGATACTGTGAAAGGGAAAGAAACACTTGGGATGAGGGAAAGGAGAAAAGAAAAGAAAGGGAAAAAATATATATATATACACACACAGATAGCTAAGATAATTGTACTACTAATTTCTATTGATTTATTGAAAGGAACGTTAATGTTTAATTGTTTGATCAATCTTGCATACCTAGATCTGGTAATCTGGGGGAGTACTTGGAAGATAACAATATCAAGTATTGTTAATTTCCTATCACCTTGTTTTGAAATACTGTGTTGTTTTTTATTGCTTTTGTGTTGTTCTGTTTTTGTTATTTTGTTTTTGTTCTTTTCTCTTTAAAATAAAATTTAAAAAAATAAGGGAGTGTATAAAAGATAAGCCAGGTGTGGTGACACAATCTTGTAATTCCAGTACTCTGGGATGCTGAGGCAGGACGAATGCCAAGTTTGAGCCCAGCCTGGGCAACTTAATTACTTAGTGAGATCCTGCTTTAAAATAAAAAATTAAAAAAAAGGTTGGAGATGTTTAGTATGAAAGTCTTGGGTTCAATCCCTGTGTCCCCCTTGCCTCCCAAAATATGTGTATGAAAGATACACCTGATGCAAAGGGCAGTTAATCAAAATTAACTGGAGTAATAAACTAAGATTAACTTCAGTTTTTAAACTGACATTTAAAAAAATAACCAAGAAACCAATAATCTCCAACATTACAGCATATGAGCAACTTCCAAATAAATTTCAATACATTTTCCATTTTATCTGTAAAGTCAGAATTAAAAGAAGTAACTTTTAAATCTTTCTCCTGAGGATTGCAATACATACAGATTGTCCACACGTGTAAATTTAAAGGCCTTAGAGAGAATGGCAAAGGCAGTTTCACCAAAGCTTCCCTGAGCTTCTGAGCCTCTGCCCCAACCCTCATCACACCCTTGAATATCCTCATCTCCAGAGTGAAGATAAGCGTTTTCCGGGTCAACTGGGGACAGAAATACCTGTTCCTCCAGCAAGAGCTCCTCTGGCTATGTCACCATTTCTCTGGTCAATGGTTTTCTATAAAAAACAAAAAGAGGTTTTGAGGGGACGGTAAGGAGGGCTGAGAGTATTTGCCTAGCTTGCCCAAGGCCCTGGGTTCAATCCCCACTATTGAAAAAAAATAGTGAAAGAAAAAAATCAGAGCCATCAACAGTAGTCAGCAAATGGCCATCTGAGTACCTTATCTGCGGCTTCTGTCCTCCTGGTTCTCTTCATAATCTCCTCAAGCCGCTGCAAGAGAGGGTGAGAAAGGGGATCGACACGGACAGCAGCTCGGCCAGGAATGTTTCAGACACAATAAAGTAGCAGCGACAAAGCAGCAGCATGTGTGTTTCGGGGAAAACCGAATTCGGACTGCTTCGTCTTGGTGGTTATTCCAAAAGGCTGGGCGCCGCGTGGGCTGTCTCCAGTGGAAGCAATTGCTTGGGCGGGCTGAAACCTGGGGCCGGTTGGCCGGTTGCTGGGAGATGATTTATTAGTGCCAAGGGCTCCTTACCCGGAAAGGGCAGAGCCCACCTGTTGCTGATGGCAATGCTCGTCTCTCGGTATCTCTTGGCCTTTAGGTGGCTTCAGATCCAGAAAGAACCAGAGCGATTCTATCCCAGGTTCTGCCCGCGACAGCTACAGTACCTTCTTCCGCTCCAGGCGCTCCTGCTCCTCTCTCTGGAAGTGTCTCTCTCGCTCCTGCCGGACCCTCTCGGCTTCCTCACGAACTCGGGCCTCTTCTTCCTTCTGAAAACAAGAAGTAGTATCCGGAACAGGGATCGATCGGTGACCACCGCGCTCCACCCGCAGGGGCTGGGACCCGCCCGGCGCGCACCTGCTTCTGTGCACGCTCGGTCTCCGCGCGCGCCCGCTCCTGGCGCAGCTGCTCCTCCCTCTGGGTCTGTTCGGCCTCCAGCCTGCGGGCCTCTTCCTCCCGGCGGGCTCGCTCCTCTGCCACCCTTTGAGCCAATTCCTCTTTCTTCTGTCTGGGGAAAGTAAAACAGACACGTGAGGGGGATGCCTAGAAGAGAGGCCTGAGTCGATGGGCACTGCAAGGAGAATTCGTTCACAGGTCTGGCGCAAACACCTGCACTGGGTGTGCTCAGCATCCTCAGGGATGCTATTCTTCCCTCTCCCTTCCCAGCCTCTGTGGGCCTGTGGACTGCTAATACTTCGTGGGAGAGCTTGCTTTTACAAAGGATCTGCAACTTAACTACGTATCTTTAAAGGCTGAGACTTGCCCGGTGCTGGTACATGTCTGTAATCCCAGCACTCTGGGAGGCTGAGGCAGGAGGATCACAAGTTGGAGCCAGGGCAATTTAGCCAGACCCTGTCTCAAAAAATAAAAACAAAGACAAGCGATATAGCTCAGTGGTCGGCCCTGGGTTTAGACTCTAGTACTTACTGCAAAAAGCAAAGTAAACAAAATATACTAAGAATAGGGAGATAGATCTTTTGTAAAAAGGAAGGGGATCAAGATATGGGCTGGGGGGCAGAAGGGGAAGGGAATGAGAAAAGAATTAAGATATGTTAGGTACACGTACCAACTCGCCATGAGCAATGCGATCATTAGGTACTGAAAATGTACAACAACAACAACAAAAAATTAAAACTTCCAAAACTCAAAAGAAAAAAAATCAAGGCCTGAGACTTGTACAATCGAAATGATGTGACTTTTTAGTGGCAAATCTGAAGCCCCCCCTACTGTGGAAGGAAATTTTTGTAAGTAAGTAGGGTCCTAATGTTCCCTCCAGGAACAGAAGGGACGCAGACCACACAAGGTCTCTGCCGGCTAACACGCAGGCCACGTCCAACCAGGAGGCCCGGCTTCGGGGCTGAGGTCCTCCCTGGAGGAGCAGCTCTGTTTGTCTGAAGAACAATTACATTGACCTTTGCCTTATTAGGCCTAGAAGGTGGCCACTGAAGCAAACGGTCCCCAGCATACTGTCTGGCAATCACGGAGCATTTATAAATCTCTCACTCAGCTACTCTCCCAGGGTTTTTACCTGAAAGAAGACATGCATAGTCATTCTGCAGCTTTAAAATGCTAATTACAAAGCTAATGAGGAAAACCAAAGGTTGGAGAGGTGCTAAGTGAAAACACAGACTGCAGAACTGCACCTCTACTGTGATTATAATCATGTAAATATGTATGTGCATATGTGCGTTTGTGCATGTGCCCATAACCTACTCACACATTTCCGGATGGTTCAGAGACTAGAAAGGACCAGCCCAAGTGTACACAATTACTGAAATCAATAAGACTATGGGTACATTTTTTTGAGATGAGATCTTGCTATGTAATTCAGGCTGTCCTTAGATTCATTATGTAGCCTAGGCTGGCTTCAAATTACAGTGATCCTCCTGCCTCAGCCTCCCAAGTGCTGGGATCACAGGTGTGCCCTGCATGCCTGGCTACATTTTTTTCTTTAAACCTTCTAAATCAGGGCTGCACTGTCACTAGTAAGAAAATGTAACTGGTCAAATGAACACTAGGTCAGCTAATTCTGAAAGGTTCCCTTTTGTCAAGTTGCCACCCTCTCCCTCAGGGGGAAGACTTCACACAGGGCCCCAGTGATGTCACGTCACTGTCACCCTTTACCTTTCCAGCTCTTCCTTCTCCTTCTTCTCCCTTTCCTCCTTCTCTCTCTGCTCTCGGGCCAGCCGCCTCTTTTCAGCCAGCAGCCGCGTGGCCTCTTCAGGGTCTGTGGTGCCCGCAGAGACCTTAGGGGCGGCGCTGGTGGTCACAGCGGATGGGGCGGCAGGGACGGAAGCTGGGGCTGGAGCCGGTGCTGGGGCTGGAGCCAGGGCTGGGGCTGGAGCCGGGGCTGGAGCTGGAGCCGGAGCCAGGGCTGGAGCGGGAACCTGCGCTGGAGCAGCTGTACAAACAGGTACAAGAAACCCAGTTGGAAACAAAACTCAAAGAACAAAACAAAAACTAGCATTCTCCACACATGCTCTATGTCTAGAATTAATCATTATCAAAGAAAAGGGAATGTTTCTTACTGTGTGTTCTCACGGTTTCACTGTATTCTGTCTGTAACCAAGCAACAGGTAACAAAAACTGTGTGTACGTGAGCCCTCCGACAGAGCGCACACTCTGTCACCCTGCCTGATTTTAACAGCGGTCAAATCGGTCAGCCACATCCAGCAAATGTGCACTAAGGCGAGAGCCTCGGGTTACATTCTGCAGCAAAATGAAGATGTGCTCTTTCATTACATTTTAAAAATTTCTGCTCTTGGGTGATGATTTATTATTGTGGCGCTAAAGCCTCTCTCTCTCTCTGACTGTTCTCACCATCCAAGGCACAGGCTGATTCAGGCTAGGAAGGGGACACCCCTTCTGACAAAAGCCTATGCAGGGCTGTCTTCAGGTCTGGGAAGTGCGGAGCCAAGGCCTCGTCAGGGGCACGCGGGTGGCTAACACTTCCGGCTTCCACTCCATCCTTACCCAGCAGGACAGGAGCTGACATTCTCCGGCTTCACTCTGATGGAGGGAGACCCAGGAGGGGGTGCCCTACACACTCTTGCAACTGATTCAGCACCCTTGAGCTCTGAGCTCCGGCGCCTGGCCACGCTCAACCCTCCTTTCCCCATTTGCATTTCTACTTCTGCTCCAGGGGATTTTTCTTTATCACCCTGATATTCTTGGGCGCTTATCCTATTTTCATGAAAGCAAACCCCAGACTCTTCCACTCTGTCAACATTTTCATCTGTCTTGAACCAACTATTCTTTCTTTGCTCTATTCTTGACCTTGAGACTGTCTTAATCAGAGATATTTTGAATGAAAACAATTTTTAACAAGAAAATACTAAACTCCCAGCTCTAGGTGACACCAGATTCCTAAATAGAATCTGGTCAGCTTCACAGAACCACTGGGTGTTCTGGGAAAAACCTCTGACCTCTTGTCAGTGCACAGGGTAAAGCCAGCAGTGTTCAGACCCTTGTGTGCTCAGGAATCAACAAACAGCTTAGCATCCATCAGCTCCTCAGACCTACCACCTCCTATTCTGATCCAGCAGGTGTGAGGTGAGGCTACGGGTCTGCATTTAAAAAAAAACCCTAGAGGGGGTGGTTTAAAAATATTTCCATAAATTCTTTCAAAAATCTCCCTTCAAAAGGTGGAGCGTGATGGCCTATCTGTGAGTGTCAATTGAACCTAGTGACTTCTTAAGAGCAGAAATGACAGAAATTGGCGTGTGTCTTCTGAGACTGATGCAATGGTTCCTCCTTATTCTCTCTCACCACTGAGGAGGCCAGCTGAGCAAGCAGGTGGTGAGAGGACAACAGCAACATGTTTGCATGTCACAAAACTGAGGCCAACAGCCATGTACAGAAGCCACTTTCTGCTGAGTCTTTTTTTGGAGACAGGGTCAGGCTGACCTTGAACTCATTATGTAGCCTAGGCTGGCTTCAAACTCATGGTGATCCTCCTGCCTCAGCCTCCCAAGAGGTGGGATTACAGGTGCGTACCACCACACCTGGCTACATTCCACTGGGTATTGAGATGACTGTACCCCTGGCAAACAGCTCAACTACAGTCTCACAGGATTCCCTGAGCCACAAGCATTCAGCTAAGCTGTCCCCAAATTTCTGACCAACAATCTGTATGCGATGAGAAATGTTTTGATGTCTCAGAGCTACGAAGATTGGGCTACTTTGCTACACAGCAATAGTTAACTCGTCTCCTCTCACCAACGATTTGGAGGCAGATGCTCTGAACACATTTTTGTGAAACACTGTACTTAGTAAAAGGACTCGGGACCATGTCTGATTTGACACGCCGTGGGCCAACAATGGGCTTCTGGATGTATGGATTGTAAAGAAAATTACACTTAAGAAAGGGTCCTAAAATGGGCCTCAGTGTCATGAGAGGAAAAGCAAGTAAGACAGTGCGTGAGAAGAGCGGATGAGGAGGGAAGACGACGCCCCAGCACAGCCGGGTCGCTCTCACCAGTGTCAGCTTCAGGCTCCGCAGGCGTCTCTTCGACTGTGGCTTCTGCTACCTTCACTAGCGGTGCTCGGCCCCTTAGTGAGGGCTCATTGGCAACGGTCTGAGGTTCCTTCTCGGGCTCCTTCTTCTCCGGTTCCACTTTGGCTTCTCTCTTGCCAGGGCGGATGTTGCCAGGGGATGGGGGCCGGGCCTGAGCGGGGGCAGCTTTGACCGAGCCAGGAGGCAAGGAGGACGCCGGTCGGGGTGTGCCAGGCAAGTGCGGGAAGGACTTGGAGGGGAGCCTGCATGGCAAACAGACAACATGGAGATGGGACATCAGAATTCCTGTCTAACGTGCAGGCGGCCCTGGGTTCAACCCCAGTATTGAAAAAAGACTGTTATTCCCTCAGTCAAAGCCAAGCTCACTGTGAGGACAGAAGCTGCTAGTTCTCTCCCACGGAGGGTGTACTTCACTCACCAGAGCCGGGAGGGCGCTGGCGATCTTGCTTTGGGATTAGCTGGAGATAGAGCCCTTCGGATACCAGATGTAAGATGGAAGGGTACATTTTCTCTGTCTCTTTTATGGCCCTAAGTTCAGAGAAAATAATTAGATTTTTCTGTGAGTGAGATGATCGCATTTGCAGTATTCAATAGTGGACTATGAACCATTTAACAGGTTTCTGCAAATTTTCTAAACTGTCCCACGCAAATCCACTCCACCTCCACAATGGGTCCTTGTTAGTCTACAACAATATAACCGAATTAACACAGGTAACATTGATGAGGTGGCTTTGAATGTGTGATTTGGGTATTTGTTAAAAAAATATACCTAAAAACTTAAGAAAGTACCTATACTTTGTGTTTGAAATTACCAGGAGCAAAATCTCAGTACAGTTTATTCCCTACAAACGTTAAAATAAAAGTCACTCCCATATTTTAAAAAAACTTTTAGTTAAACACTTATCTGTCTTTTTAAATTTCACAGTAACTTTTTTTAATCTCAGAGCATAACGTAGCAACAAAAAATTTTATATGTCTGCTATTCCTGACATTAATTCATTTTCCCGCCATATGGATGTTACAGAAAAATTCCTCCCTCAGCTAATGTCCCCTAAACAAAGTCCGGTACAGGGTGAGCAATCTTAGGCGTTTATACTCTTTTTGCATCAGGGATGTGACTCAAGCCTGAGGGTAGGCTAAAACACCAGCCCTTTCCTAACCCCCAGCTAGGAATTCAGCCAGAAAGATAGCATCTTTCCTAAGTGAAAATGGGCAGAGAGAAGCCCAGAGAAATGTTCTGAGATTCTAAAATCAACCCAGACTCTACCACTCAATACACAGAGGGCAAACCTGACCCATTCCAAGTATCCAAGCATCGGAAACGTTCTATTATGTTCTGGGATGGGAATGGAGCCTTGCTAGGGCACACGGTGAACACCTGCCAGGAAAGCAGACTGAAAAGGTACAGGGAAAGGGTAAAATATTATGTATTCACAGGGCAAAAAAGTTGGGAGTTCCTCAGTAATTTATAACAGCTTTGCAGTAACGTGTATCAAATTAGAAGCACTGGAAAACTGTGTCTAGGATGATATGCATGTTTCAAGTGGTACTGAAAGCCACACTGATGGATATGTGATAATAAATGTATTTGTTATTAATATGCAAAACAGATGGTAGCATATCTTTTCTTCCCTGCTTTTCTGCCAATGTTCAAGCCTCAGTTCTTTCCCTTCCCTTTTATTCCCCTGAATGTCCCTTCTGATTGCTTCTCTTCATCTTGCTTAGCAGTAACCTAGTTGATTGACTGGACCAAAGGTGAGGAAAGACATGTTAAGTGTACTGTCTCCCTGGAGTTTCTACACAGAAGGATGCACAGGGCAGGAAGGAGCATCACCAAGTGGGTGCTGGTTCCATCCCACCTCCAGATGCATGGCCACCCTCTGTCACTATTTCTGATGCCAAAAGGTAGGAGGTGGGGCCTGGCAGAGTGGGTACTGTCTTTGGGTGGCAAAAGCTTCAGCCATCATATGGGACCTTCCAGTCTGGTATACAAGTTGGCAATTATGCCTCGGGTAGGTCAGTCCGCAGGGTGGGAGGTCCAGGGCTCCTCCTAAGGGAACTCAGGATTAAAGAATCTGAGTAGCCTTTTTTGTTCTTTTTTTCCTCAAAATATTTCAATTTGACTGAAATCAAATCAAGGAGATATCGGAATGGGAGGGGCAACTTATGACTGGAGAGTTGGGGGAAGACTTTTTTCATCTGTGCTTTGATGCGACAGGGACCAGGGCCCTGGAGATACAGCCCAGTGGGAGACTGGGTAGCATGTGTGAGGCCCTGTGTTTGATACCCACCCCCAGAAAAACAAACCGAAACAGGAGAAATAAAACAAGAGACATGAATAATGGAATGGCCTTGCATAAAAGAGATAGTCTTCATTTTATCAACGTGCCAATTACTTTTCAGTCTCCTAAAAGAAGCTGATCTCCTCCAACCACCTAGGGGCTGGAGGAGCAGGGGAGCAACAGTCTGGGAAGACGCTCAGGACTTGAGATAACACCACTCAAACAGGCAGAATGTTCTTTTGTCTTCTAAGTCCGTCCACTGCTCTTAAGCCCATCGCCTGTTTGAGCAGCACACAGGCAAAGGCACTGCTGAGTCTCATCCTGATCTGAGTTAATGCCCTGCAGTCTACACAGTCACCTTTTCTTTTAACATTGTCCAAAATGCCGAGGCAAACTTTACAATTTTGAAAAAGAACAAGAAGGCCGGAGGCTTCATACTTCTTGATTTTAAACCATATAAGAAATCTCTCACTCAAAATGCTCAGTGACCAGTATACAGACCAATGGAACAGAACAGAGAGCCCAGCAATAAGTACTTGTATATTTGGTACAATCCCAAGATCACTCAAAGAGAAAAGAACACTTCCTTCAACAAATCCTGCTGGGAAAATTGGATATCTGCAAGAAAAAGAAATTGGACCTTTTGTTTATATAACAAACATAAACTCAAAGTGGATTAAAGACCTTAGTAATGTACGACTTAAAATGACAAAACTTCTGTAGAAAACAGAGGTGGTAAACTTCATGTCGTTGGATTAGGTGTCGATTTGTTAGAATAATAAAAGCACAGCCAACAATGTGAAAAATAGGCAAATGGAAAACATCAAACTTAAAAATTTCTACGCATCAAAAAACATAATCACCCTTAGAGGCTGAGGCATGAGCAACACAAGCTCAAATCCAACCTGGGCACTCAGTGATTTAGCAGGACTCAGTCTCAAAACAAAAAAATAAGAATAAGGGCTGGGGGTGCAGCTCAGTGCATCCTGGGTTCAGCTTTCAGGACTACAAAAAAGAACAACAACAAAAATGCAGGACATAGTAAAAGCCTATGAAACATGAAAAATATGTGCAAATCAAACATATGAAGCTAATGTTCAGAAAATATAAATGACTCCTACAATTCAACAACTAGTAACTTGATTAAAAGTGGGTGAAAGACTTTAGGAAACATTTCCCCACATATGATAACTGCCAACATGCCCACGAAAAGCTGGCAACACCACTGCACACTAGAGAAATGCAAGCCAAACCACAGGGAGCCGAGTAACTTTTAGGATTATGGCACACGGTGTATTAACTACTGTCATTCTCTATTTTGTAACGAAACTTTTTTTATAGATGAGTACTTATTTTATTTTCTTTATTAATATCTACTTGTATTACATTAAAATTAAAAATAATAAAACCAGAGTTGCTGAGATGATTCAAGAGGGAAAGATTTTCTTTTCAAAAAATCCAGTTGGAAGGATTATGTATCCAAATTTTAAAGTTTTTTTTTCCACCTCATATTGTGCACAAATTAAATCAAAACTGATGCATCTGAACACTTGCTCAGTAAAATTATAACACTTTAAAAAAATTTTATGTGAAACATTTTTGTAAAAAAATAAAAACAGTGAGTTATCATTTCGCACCCATCAGTATTGCTGTTTAAAAAAGATAACACACGTTGGTAAAAACGTGGAGAAATGTCGATCCCTTGTGCTTTGGTAGGAATGTAAACTGGTGCAGTCACTACACAGCACAGTATGGTGATTCCTCAGAAAACTAAAGTAGTGACCATCTGATCCCACTTTCCCTCTTCTGGGTATATATCTGAGAGAACTGAATGCAGTGGCTCCAAGAGATATTTGTATACTCAGGTTCATAGCAGCATTATGTATAATAGCCAAGAGGTGGAAACAACCATACGTACCTCATCAGATGAACGCAAAAACAAAAATGACCTATACATACAATGAAGTATTATTCAGTCATAAAAATAAAGGAAATTTGCCAGGCATGGTGGTGCACTCTGGGAGGCTGAGGCAGGAGGATCTCAAGTTCAAATCCAGCCTGGGCCACTTAGTGATTCAGTGAGGCTCCATCTCAAAATAAAAACTAAAAAAGGGCTGGGGGTGGAGCTTAAAGCTAAAGCCCTGAGTTTAATCCCCAGAATCAACAACGACGATAACAGCAACAAGAACAACAACAAAATAGGAAAGAAATTCTGACACACACTTCAGCAGGAATGAACCTCGACAACCTTATGCTAAGTGATAGAAGGCAGTTGGGAAAATGTAATTATTTCATGAATCCACTTACATGAGGTATCTAAAGAGTCACAGTTGCAGAAACAGAAAGTAGAATGGTAGCTGCCAGGGGCTGAGGGGAAAGGAGTGGGGCATAGGAAGTTGTTTAATGTGCACAGAGGTTGAGCTGTGCAAGATTTTAAAAGTTTGGAGATTGTATTACGATGTGAGTGTACCTGGCACTGAAATTAAAAATGATTATTTTTTAAAACTACAAACATACTACCGTTGCTGCTGTTGTCTGGGGAGAGGGTCTGGCTGTTCAGCCCAAGACTTTACAAGTATGCGCCCCAATATCCGGCTAAACATTTTTTTTTAAATTAAAATTTCAGCATGGCCTTGTGGTCCAGGCCTGTAACCCTAGCACTCTGGGAGGCTGAAGCAGGAGGATAGCAAGTTAAGGAGTCTGGCCTGGGCAAACGAGCAACTTCCTATCTCAAAATAAAAAATAAAAAAATGGGCTGAGGATATGGCTCAGTGTGAAGGCCCCAGGCTCAATCTGCAGTATTAAAAAAAGAAATCAGTGCGCCGGTGTCATTTGCCACTTTTTGAGTGCTCAGCGTGGATAGCCACGGCTGAACTCCATGGCACCGCTCCGGGAACCACATGCTGGCATTAGGTGTACATCTAAAGATTTGGCTGAGGGAGCGGAGAGTGACTGACCCCACAAAGAAAGAGGACGGCATTAAACAGAAAGTAACACTCGCAAAGTTTGGGATATGGGCTCACAGGCCCCTGTCATTTACTGTTACCCACGGTCAGCCTTCTGCGTCTCTCCAAGCAGTGTTAATTTTTGTTTTTCCCTAAAACAAGATATTTCGCCTTTGACAAATGCTCTTCTTCCCGGCCCCAGAAGCAGCCAAAGCTAATCTGCTTCACGATCACGTTTGTGTACAGTGGGACTCTGTCGCACCCACAGGCTAATGAATCCAAACGTAGCAGAAGCCGCGGCGGAGGTGCACACCTGTAATCTTATTTGGCAGGTGGAGGCAGAAGGATTCCAAGTTGGAAGCCAGCTTGGGCCACTTAGTGAGACCTTGTCCCAAAAAATAAAAAGGGTTGAGGATGTGGCTAGGTGGTAGACTCCCCTGGGTTCAATCCCCAGTACTGACAAAACCAAAAAAATAAAACTTTGTGGACTACAAAGGTGGTTTCACTTTTGGCTGAGAGCAGGGCAGGCCGGATGAGGCTTGAAAGAAAACTACCTGCAGGCAAACCATCAAGCTCTCCCAAACCCTTGAATTATCCTTTAAGCACAATCCTTTTAAGCCTCATGAGATTTACACATCAGAATTGATCTTAGAAGGTAAAATTTTAAAAAAAGTCCTAACCCTTCATTACAAGGGCCACACTATTATCATGGGAGTGAGGCAATGAGATCTGGTGGATGGGTGAGTCCTTTAAGGCGAAAGTACAGGGTCCAAAGGCCGCAGAACAATGTCTTCATCTTTCACCAGATGCAAAATAAACACACAGTTTAAAACAAAGATGAAGAAAGATTCCTGGAGGTGAACAAATTACCTCATTGCATTTACAGCCCGATGATTAACGTTAGCTCAGCTTCCTTGCCAGTAATAACAAGTACAAATTATAATTCTCACTTGCAAAACTTGAGTTTATAATACAGCACAATAGCCTTTTAAAGACTGGTCATTTAGCAAACGACTCGTGTTTTTAGAATACTTTTTTCCATTATATTTTAAGATGTGGGCTTTGACAGAGATTAGCTAATAAGCAGGATAAAATTCTTTATCTTGGTTTTTAGTGACCCACACTTAGAGCCTGGCCAGCTTCCAGATACGGTGGGGATAAAATGTCAGGCAGCACTCGCGGCTCACTTCCTCTCTCAAGGCCATCAGGCTTTCTTGTTTTCAAAAATGAAACTATTTTGGAATTGCATTTATTTGTACAGAGGCCCCTGGAGGATAAGCCAGCCACTCCTGTATGCTTGAAACAGTTTGCAACTTTAAGTTCAAGTTTTTAGGAAGAGCAAAACCCCCGATCTGAGAGGAAGCGTGTGTAGGATTGAGGGCAGCACTGCCCAGTGAGCTAGATTCACGATGGGGGGCACGTGGGCGCTGCGGCTGCCCTGTCTCACGTCACACCGTACCCTGGGGCAGTGTCCATTCTGTCCCAGCCTCGCCAGGCTGCTCCCAACTGCTACTCACCGTGGTGCCATGAACAGTCCTCCTGCGCGCAGAGCCCTCGGGCGGTGTTACAAAGAGTTTTGGTCGATCCACTGGATTTCTAGAGTGTGCAGCTTTGAAGGGCATGATGATGGGGCTGCAAGATGCTGAACGAGGACAAATGGGGATAACTAGGGTGCAGATGATTGGTTTTACACACAAGAGTGCCAGAGGAGCAGTTGAAGAAAGCCAAAAGCAGGTTCAGGAAAAGGAGCAAAGCAGAGATAGAGAGAAAAGTAGGAAGAAGATGTTATTACCTAACGGTGCCCAGAACCATCACGCTCAACTCTCCTCACATCCTGTGAGTCTGTGATGTGTCCAAAGGGAAGGCATGTCCAAGTAAAAAATCCGGAATATAATGCTAGCTATTTAAATACCAACTGAAGATACAGATGTAATCCAATACGTATGGAGAGCAATGGTCTTACATTCCTATAAAACGATGGTTCTGGTAAAATGCTACATTAGCCAAATGAGATAACTTTTATACGAAGACTGGTTTATAATCAGATTTTTTTCCAAATTAGCTTTAAGACATTATACAAGGTGCAAAGAGAGGAAGCGTGCAGGCAAGCAAGATACAGTACAACGATTTCAAGAATCAAGTTCAACAGCCAGTTGGGGAAAAAGCAAGCACAGTTTTAGAATGTTAAATGAGCAAGTCTTACCAGGTGTTAAGACTTGCTACCAGCGTAAGAAATAATTGCCAGGAAAGAATTCTGCAAATGTTTGATCTATTTTTAAAGGCAAACCAAGGCATGCTTCTGGGTTTTCCCAAAAGCCAAGGCACTTGATAGTTCAAAGAAGCAGCAGTAGAACATATGGGGAGATGGGCTGTAACTATTTAAAATGGGAAAAGAACATAAATATGTTAGGATTGCTAAAAATAAGTTTGGATCATAAATAGCTTTTACAATTTTATTCAAAACGGAATTTTTTTCTTGAAGGTGCACATAGCATCAGGTGTGGTGGCACACCTCCACAGTCCCAGCACTTGGGAGGTTGGAGCGGGAGGATCACTCGAGTCCAGGAGTTTGAGATCAGCCTAGGCAACATAGTGAGACCTCATGTTAAAAAAAAAAAAGAAAAGAAAGAAGAAACCCATATAGTTTCTGATTGTTCCCCTTCAAAGGAACACTATCATTAATCTGTTTATTCTGATCCTCAATGAATTAAAAAAAGACTAATGTAATTGGAAAGGCATAAAAAGTGTGGATTCTAAGGTTCCAAGGTCCATTTTCAGACTTCATTCAGGGATCTTGCTTTCCAGCAAAAATAAGACAATTAAATATGACTACTGAGGATAATACTATGCATTTGGACCTGATTATAAAATGAGTTTACCTAAATCTAGCCATTACAGTAACCCTTTAAAGAGACCATTATGCTAGGAAAACGTAATAGTATTAATAAATTAAAAACTCAAAAGTTCAGAATTATATATAGAGCTTAAATATTTAATTATTACTTTGGTTTATTCCATAGTCAGTTGATTAGATTGCATCTTTTTTCAGGTGGCGGAGTTCTGAGGATCAAACCTAGGGCCTTGGGCATTCTAGGCAAGTGCTCCACCATTGAACTGCACTCCCATCCCTAAAACACATCTTCCCTAATGCGTTTTCCTTCATTTAATGCATCACAGTATCTTCTGAATAGTTAGGACAGTAAATTAGATGGGATACCGCACTCTCTTTTCCCATTCTCTTAAGCAGAATTCTATTTCTTCAGGACAGACTAAAACACTTTGCGTTTCCTCATTTCAAAGAATATGTGTGTCTTATTTGGGAAATAACTAAAGCTTTACTTCTCACGTTCATGGTAAAGGAAGGATTTGTACTGTGAAGGAGAACCTCTTGTCCTCTTGCTTGTTGAGATCACAAGGGAATCTACTTGAAAACAGCCTTTGCTTAAGTGCCACAACAAGGTGTTTGCATTTCCCAGACAAGGAAAGAGTTCATTAATACAAAATCCTTCCAAGTCAATCAAACACATTCAAGAAATAACATCCTGGCACAACGTCCTTCTGGGGATTCAAGACCAGAAGGAGAGGTGCACAGTGCCAGGGCACAGCCAGAGCCTACTACCTTTGTTCAGGGATCTAGAGATCACAGCCAACAGCCCTGCACTGAGGCAAGGGTCTGACAGTGAGAAAGGAGCAAAGCACAGGTATATGATTTCTTTTTCCAGTGGAAAATAATGATTTCAGGAGGTACCTATGGAGCATTTCCTGAGACCATTCTCAATACCAATGGTATCTGAGAATAAGGTGAAGTCAGACACAGAACTGAAATGGAAAGACAAAAAAGAATAATCAAAGAAAATACAGGAAAAAGCAAAAGTGACTGAAAATATGTCTTCAAAAAGACAACTGGAAGACACAGTTGTATATATAATTTCAAATGGAAATGTTTGCAGATACCAATAGTTTTGCTTCATTAAACATAAGCTTTATCAATGCAATTGGTAACAATGATCTAGGGAACGTATTAATAAAACAGGCAACTCAAGGAAAGGCCATGAACTATTTCACAATAAAATAAATTAACGTATCAATTTGGGTTTTTTTGTTTTTTTTTCAAACTCACGACCTTGTGCTTGCCAGGCAGGCACTGTGCCACTGAGCTAAATCCCCAGCCCCTAATGTATCAATTTTTGAAAAAGATAACAGAAAAGTTGCAAAGACCCAACTTGCAGATACAAAGCGCCTTGACTGAGCATAACAACCAGGAGGGAGGGGAAGACAGGCAAGTAAAATGAGTGGAAAATGAGGAAATGGCACTGGAAAAGACTAGAGGAAGAGTGAAAGAATTGACAAAAGTTAGTGATGACAGAAATAGCAAAGAAAGACAATTATCAGCTGTGAAGCGGTCCTTTGGCACAGCATGACATACAATGCGGGGGGTTGGGGTGTGTGATGGCCATACACACGGAGGTCCTGTGAGACAGGACAGACAAGCAGTCTGAAAGGTTCCTTGACATGAAGAGAAACTTCCATGACTTGTATGAAAGTATGAAATTCATAGGCATAAAACTAAACTCTCTTAAAAGAAGCTATACTTTTTTCCTCTAGAAAAATCTCAGATGTAGTGCAAAAGAGTTCTGACAGAGAAATTCCTTTACAGAAAATAGAGAACACCACGGCCCAGCTAGTTGATTGCATAAATGCATGACTCAGGGTGCTGAGGAGGGGATGGGCAGCGTGTTTAAGATGCACTTCACAATTTGCTAAGTGGCTCCATGTAAGTCATTGATGGTCACTACACTTGGTTTCCATAACAACAAGGTGGGAATGCCCACACTTGCTCTTTTGATTGACCTCCAGCGGGGTATGATGAAAAATAGCACTGATACTCATTAGCTGACTGGGCACTGTAGATAAAAGACACCATAAAACCACCAAGAATTACTATTTGTACAGCAGGCTAGCAAACATGAGGAGGCTTGCAGAAGCAAAGGGAATTTTTGCAAAGACCGTATGCAATTTTCTAAGTACCAAAGATGAGGGCTGCTACACTAGTTACATAGATACACCCACTGTGCCCTAAGACATTTGGGAAATCTAAATCTATTTAACAGAAGAGAATGTTACCAAAAGTCTTATGTGGACTTCTCTTACCAACTAGACAGAGGCTGTACACTAACTTCTCATTAACTCAATGAGCCATTTGGCTAATTCCAGTGTGGTTTGCAATTCAAAAAGTAGGTAATAATGACATACCAGCTGGTATTAGATAGGTTTACATGTTTCCAAGGAAAGTAATAAGTACATTGTAATTAGCCTTCACAAGTCTTTGGAGTTTTGGAAGGGTGCTGTTTCCAGATTACATATAAAAGATGGCACAAGGAGGATAAGCAGTTAGCCCACAGCCACGCTAAGAAGCTCTATGCTTAAAAAATAGGCTCGTGCTTTTTCTTTCCAACTCACCATATTGATGCCAAGTATTAAATTATATCTACCTTTTGATCACCTGCTCAGATACAGGGGCAGAAAGAAAAGTAGATAACGGAGACTTTTTTTGGGTAACCTCATGAATAGACAGAGGCAGCTGAAGCCACCTGATCACAGGGAGGGGCTTCATCTGTCTGCCTGGCGTCTGGTGTCCAGATAAGGCGCTAAAGTGGATGCTAAGCGGAAACAATGCCAGGAGCATGAAACCAACACCGACAGACATTTCCACTGGAGCAGAAGGAAGCACACATCAGGGAAAACAGAGCAGGGAGTGGATGAGTACCGGCAGCACAGATATGCCCCAAAAGGAAGGCTTTACCTCACCAGGCAAGTTCTACCTGGATGGCTTTACCTGCATCTCCAGACAAAGCAGCTGTGCTTTTACTTCTAGCCAGGAACGAATGTGTGGGCGTCAGGAGTCTGTTAACAACGTTGCTCTCCCAGGGGCTGAGCTGCAGGCGGCGAGCTAAATGTCACCACATAAGGAAGATGTTAGAAGCATCCTTTCTAGGGTCAAGAGGGTGCAGAACATCATACCCATCGCCTCCACAGGCCAGGCCTTCAAGAGACATCAGGCTCTCCAAAGAGAACAACTGGCCCCTCTGGTTCAGGAATCTGGAACCCTGTCCAAGGGGAGCAGCTATTCCACAAATGTTGCCTTTCTTCAGGGTGTTCAACTTGTGGCAGGTGCTAAAGGAGTTTTAGTTGTGAATTTTGCTTAATCACCCTCTTTCAGTAGTCAACAGGCCTTGAAATAGAAATATCATCTCATCTACAGATTTGGCATATCCTGTAAACTACAGGGGGTACCTATCTGTTGGGCATCTGGGATGGACATGGACTCATGGGACCCACTTCAGCGGATGGGCCTCCTAAGTACCTTGAATAATAAACACAATAAACAGCAACAGGGATGTTGGCCAGTTAACAGGATAATAAGCTTGTATAAAAGATAGACTGGGTCCCCTTTAAACTATGCTAGATCCCCAGGAATTGCTATTTGGGCAACTGGGAGAGATTAGACATAATAAAATGAAAAATTAATGCAAAGTTCTGTTTGGGATTCCTTTTGACTATTCCACTCTGTGAATCAAGTTCCTTCCTTTGACAACAATAGACGAACCATGGCTGGGAATCAAGATTAAGGGTGAAGCAAGATTAAAAGTAAGTAGAAAAGCCAAAATCCTGAGGATTACAAGTGGGGCCCTAAAGAATCTGGACAATAAATTTAAAATAATGCAGTGACATATGGTCCCAAATCGTACCGGAGCTTGTCAAGGACAGCATTAGGAAATGCATTCTAATTATAAATTAATCACTGTGCTTACTGCACAGTGATCCCATGTGGATGCACAGTAGGTATTTTCTAAAAATACCAATAAAGAAGCCTGCACATTCCTGCAGGTATCATTAAGGTGATCACATTTCTCTGCTTTAGAATGTACTTTTTTTTTTTTTTTCCTGGTACTGGGAATGGAACTCACGACGTCATGCTTGCCAGGCAAGCGCTGTGCTGCTGAGCTAAATCCCCAGCCCCATAGGATGCACTTTTAAGTCACTTAGAACAGTCTTTTAAACCATCTAATTCTGACAGGGACACTTTTTTTCTGCTCCATAAATCTCAGATGAAAGTCCTTTTGCACCCAGAGTGGATGTTCTTACATCAATCTTGTATATATTATATTTTAAAGAATGACACTTAAATCCTAGGAAATTAGTTTATTTAATAAAAGCCATATGCTGCTGAATATTGCTACTTAGAAATGTTCTGCTCCCATTTGGAAGGAAGAACCAACTTTCATTAGGTTCCTTAATTACTTAACTTTATTTTAAAAATGTGACTATTTTGATCAACACTCTGGTGAATTTAAGAATTAGTAATTATTCTTTAGATTTTATGTTTATTGGGAGACTTTGTAGTTAAATATTATTTGACATTAAGATACTAGTAAAAAAAAGATGTTATAAAAACTATTGCAATGGTTACGGCTGACAGAACGCCATGCTTAAGCACTACTGTAAACCAGTAGGGCACTAATGTGAGTGTGTGTAATAAGAGAAATAACCCAATTTCAAGTTAGAATAAACTCCTAGAATAAAAGCAGTGGGGAAAAAGTCACTAGGATTAATTGAAAATTGTCAACAGAACTGTACATTCAACAGATAAGAAAGGGAAGAAAGATGAATGTTTCTTTTTCCTAGAAAAACTGTAGGATGACTGCAGCTTAGACTTCAGAGCTATCAAGTGCAAGAATAAGTCATTTTCTTTGCTCCACTAGGAATTTTAATTACTGTATTCCTGTGAGTCTTTAGGGCATCAACTACAGGCTTTGTTTCAAATGAAGATCATTACAAACTTACTTTAATACATGTAGACTAAACCCCTACACTGTGAATGTGCTCGCCCAAACATGTTTGTACTTCTCCCGTATTAGTAACTAATGCCCTACTTGGGAACAGAGATATCTTTTATAAGTTAACATCTTAGTAAACGTTAGCAAAGGAGAGTTAGTTCATTGTTCTTTTCACCTAGAGGGTTCTGGTTTTAAGATTAAAAAGCTGACCAAGGAGATACTAACACCCACGGAACTCGATGGTATTGGCCCACTTAAAATGAGATGCTGACAATTGCTTTAAGAGACCACTGAGATTAGAAGAGACAAACTTAAAGGCTGTTAGGGGCCATGTGGATTAACATAAAGAAGTGAAGTTGATTTAGTAAGCATTATGCTGCCTGCATTACCATGTTCCTTATGTAAGCATGAAATCACTGTTAAGTTTCAGGCAAAGGGCACCAAGCAGAAATTAGGCAAATGTTACCAGATTGTTATTTTTTTCATTAGAAGAAGTAAGTCTCAATGTTATATGAAACTGTCCACATTTTAAATGTTGGCAATTAATTAAAACAAGAACAAAAAGCACTGCTCAGGTTAATCAGAAAAAAGCTCTGGGCAGAATTTAGCTTTTGAGCTGTCTCTGTGTTCTCTGAGGTAGATGCGGGGGAAAACAAATTGATTAATTTTAAGCAGTGAGTAGGCAACTTTATTTTTATTCTTTTCAAACTACTGTTCATTGTTTGCAAAAGTTGGTTAAGTGAGTAGCATAAAGATAATGATACGTCCTTTTAATACAAAAATTTCCAGGGGCAGTATTTTACTTGTTGCAGCTATTATAGAAATCTTTAATAACTGGAGATTTCCTTCAATCCAGGTAATATAAAGTCCATGTAACACTAATAATCGAAATATTTAAAAACTGGTAGGGTACAGGCACAGGCCAATGGCTAGCTTCCATTAGCTTTGAGGACCAGTGAAAGCGTATCTAGGGGAAATGGCTACTGCCAACTGATATGATGGTATTTCAGCGTATTTAATAACCAGAGGGGCCAAGTTGGCACATTGCAGCTCAACAGCAGCCCTTGGGGCTTCAGCGCCTCAGTTTAGTATCCGCTTTAAGGCTGCTGCCCCAGGACTGAGAAAAGCTCAGTCCATTAACGATGCAGTACCCTCTGCACGGTATCAGTTTACAAAGGAATCTAATTATTCGATAACAATGCTTTCTAGTGGGATAATAAAGTACAACTAACTTTTAAAAATAGCAGGAAAGAATTACATATATAATTTCTGAATATATCTTTGAATTTCTGAAATTATATTTCTGAATTAGAAAAATTCAAATTTAGAAGAATTTCTATTCTTATTAAAAGGCTTAAGCCTCTTACTGTCCTACTAAAAGTTTTACCTAAGTTTAGAAAATAATCTTTCTACACCATATGGGAAGCCGGCCACTTCCCCAATTCAGTTTTCTACGCTTGCACTGAGTTTCAGGGGCAGTGTTCAACCCCCGCCATAAACTAGTTATAGAACTTCCCCTGTTCCTGGTCTCCTAACTCTACTTTTAACTTCTCCAAAGGAAGAATGCACTGCGTCCCTATGGAGGGACATGCAGGAAGGTACGAACTGCAGACACAGTGTAGCAGCCACATGGTGAAGAGCTGTTAGTCTGGGTTCTAATTCCTCTCCTGCAGTCATGCGCCTGTAGGACCTTAAGTCAGGCCTCAACCTCTGAAGGACTCTATTACCCCAAATGGAGAAGATAATCCATCCAACATATCTGTCTCAGTTCTAAGATCATATTACATTAAGAAATTGATAGGGACAGTTTAACATTGTCATTCCACACAGACATGGGTAGGACACAGTCCAGTTTACTGCCTGTACTTCTATCCTTACCCTGATTTCAGCTATAGGACTGTAGGAGACACTAACCAAGTTTTAAGTCAACAGTACTGTAAAATACTAATTGTAGTGTGTCGCAGACCAAGGTTCACAAAAGTACAAAATTAGAGCAGTGATTAAGTGATCCAAAGATAAGGTGAGTAGAAAACTGTAAGATCAGCATTTACATACATAACATATTTTATGTAATATGCAGTGACTAGGTTTCAAAATAAAGGATACTTATGGAAGAAATTTTAATTAGCAGTACTTTAACATGAAAGATCCCTAATGACTACATATCTGATATCAGTAATTTAGGCAAATTAAGGTTTGAAAATGGAATTATTTGGGGTTAAAAGGTAAGAATAGGAAGTTATTAAGCCAGTTACTGCTTTATGAGATTAGTTATAAAATAACATTCACACTCATAATGTTATACATTACAATGACACAATGCCTTTATACAAGATAAAATATACAAGTACACATACACAACATGCACACATTACATTCTTTTTAAAGATCATAAACACTGAAGCTTTCAGTTTTTGAAGAAAGCAAAGTAACCACAATTTGCTACTTCTAATGAGCATGTGCTTTTAACTGCAAAATAATTCTTTGGTTTTATTTAAAATCATCTTGGACAAGTAGCTTAGCTTAGCTCAAAAGCTTAATGTTTCTTTTATTTGTAGAATAAAACTTTCACTTTATAAATAACTCAGCACTCATGTACTGTAAATCCACAGAGTGAAGAAAACTCAACACTCAAGATGTCAACTGGAGGACTGTGATTCTCAAACTTTTCAGGAGGCTGCAAGGATAATTCTTAAAGTTAGGTAAAATCCCTCAAGAGTAAATGAAAGGACACCAAAACCCCAATCATACACATGAAAAGTAGCAAGAAATGCTCAGTGAAATGAGAAATAAATTGACAAAATGCGATTTACCAACATGAATCATGTAAAGTTCTCTTTAGAAAGTCAGAACCTGGAATTCTCAGGGTACAGATGAAAAGCCACAGACAATACGATTGAAGTGAAAGAAATGTTCACAACAAAGAATTTTGCATGTTGGTAGATAAGCGGGTGATTTCTGGAGCTGTAAACTCATTTACTAAAAGGTTGAGAGAAGCACCGCTTTCATCACTGCTAAATGCACTCATTCAGCCACGTTCTAAAATGAGTACATGTTCTTGTCGCAAGGAAAATGCAGTTCAGCCGTTTATTGCTTTTTTACTCTGAAGTTTTTTTCTTCCTATTTAAGAAATGTAGGGAAAGCAACTTCAGATGCTTATGTTCATCTGTAGACATCCAGAAAAAAAAAAAGCATTAAGTAAATAACAGAACACTGTTTTGTTTTCCTTTTGACTGTACCTCTATCTGGAGAATTTAGCAAGGTTGCAGATGAGGAGGAGAGCCGCTTGCTAATGACGGGATCAACATGTTTCGAAAGATTCATGGTGGAAACTGACCGCCTGTCTGGATCTAAAACAAATGAAGATAATGCTAATTGACAGCCAGCATGCAGGGGTGCAATTTCCTAGTTCACTGATGGAAGGAAAGACTAGGATTGGATGCTTTCGGCTCTATTTCTAGATCTTTCACAATAGCACAGTTTTCTAAGTGGATATGTTAAAGGTAACTTAAAGGCTAGAAATAACATTCATTTTTTTAAAAGCATGAAATAAATATTCCGTGCACCAGTTTAAAACTCAAGGAAACTATTCTAGTACAGCAAGTGGATGCAGACAAGGAAGGCCAGTGAAGGGCTACAGAACCAAGGGAGGCTGACTTGGAAGCAAAGAATGGACCATACAAGGGAATGCTTTCCTATTTCTGAATGTAGGAACAATGTGAAGCAACGGTGGTAATAAAATATTCTACAACACTAGAAATGGTAACAGCACATCAAGTTCTGTGTGCTTGCTGATATACTTCTGTCTCTACAGTCATTTTACCCAGGACATTACATTTTACTATAGAAGGACGGTTTTAAAATCAAGAGAAGGAAATACCCTCAGTGTGAAAAGGGTAGCCATTACACCCTTCTTTTTTTTTTTTTTAAAAGTCTACTAATAATAACCACACTTCTGTGCCCTACGAATTTAGTGTGACTGACAAGGTAGAATCAGCACATACCTGCCCAACAAAACTTAGAGTGATATAAATAAAATCTGAATTCTAAGTTGATGAATAGTATTGTTCATCCAACAGTGAGAATATTTAAAAATAATTCTGAAAGTTCAAGTTAGAAGGAAAATAACCACATAAAAGACAAAAATCAGCTCTGTTCATTTGTTCTTTGTACAGTGGAACCAATTTGTAATTGTGTTCATTAGCACAAATCATGTTCCCTGAATATAACTACATATAATTAAAGCTTACAAATCTTATATATATTTGTGTAGTAGGCAAAGATATTGGATATTCTGACCTACAATAGCTTACAGAAATATTGTCATGTTTTATTTTCTCTTTAGCTGCTCATAAAACCAAAACAAAGACATTCTTTGTGATAGATACCTTCAAAACCCAGCTCCCACTGGTCTAGCTAATCTTGACAATAAACATTTTGCAATGAACTCCCCCCATAGAATAACCATCTTTGATTATCATTTATAGTGCAATGTTGATAAGTAAAAATTAACATCAGACATTTTTGTCTTCAACAGATATATTTTTATGGTTGGAACAATTTTATTATTCAAAAAAAATCAAATATTTCTTTGACTTATAGTTACACTTAGTAATGGGTTATTAGGGTAATCCTAACCCAGAAAAGATTTAGGAAAAACATTAAAAGGAACATTCTAATGAAATTTGAGATACAGGGCACAAAAAAGGAAAAAAAAAAGTCATACCCAGGTTATTTATAGCAACAAATTTCGTGATGTTGCTTTATATGTTAAGCTTAACTTAGAGGGAAATTGTGTGTACATGCAAGCCTACCTCGAGACAGATTCTCAACGGACTGTTAAAAACAGTTTGGTTCCGGAGTAGGTGGAAAACCATCAGCTAAACTAGGTCGTCCCATTCCCCAAAATATCCACATATAGTAAGTCAACTAAATCTCCAATAAATGGTTAAAATTAATGGAGATACACCATCAATGTATTATTCTATTTAATATATGACACAACTTTTAGTCACTTCTTTTTCTCACTGAATAAAACATGGATTCACAAAAAGGCTGACAAAGAATCTCTCTCAAAAGTACAACATTTCAGACTAGCGCTAGTGGATGGGGCAGCAGCTGGAGAAGACACTGATTTTGATGTGAACAGTTTCTAGGGTCTCTTTGTTCTCAGCAAACTTTACTGGTGCTCACAGAACACACTGGCATTGCTGCACAGCAAGGCGGGGGAGAAGGAGTAAGACCTGGATGTCACTTTCAGCATCACAAAAGGTCACTCACTTTCTAGTCTTGGAAAAACTTTTTAAATTCAAATTACTTTTAGACAAACTTCTCTGTTCTACAGAACAGATCAAACAGCAATTTGATTTAACTCAGAGGTCTTAAAATGGGTTTTATTCAACAACTCACAAATGTGTCCCTGGTTTCTCTTGTTCTGAGTGGCAGAACTAATGGTCATTTAAACCTCTTATCACGGAAGCAAGAATTAAGGCTAACCAGCTTTATTTTTTCTTAAAAATGTTTGACAATATGTAACAGAGCGTACTTATATGACACACATATAACACATGAAGCCAAGTCAAAGAAAAAAAGGCTATAAAAACATATTCCATGACATCTTTTTCTGGAATATAGATATAAAACCATCCCTCGAATGAGACATGACATGTGAGAGGCAGAGGCCACGTGCACATGAGGCCAGCCTGGGCCACACACCAAGGTCAAGGCCAACTTGGACTACATAATGAGACCATTTCAAAAACGAAATGAAAATTTTAAAAAAAATGAAACATCACATGTAAACAATCTTCATGACCACAGATTTGATATGGGGTGGTAAAGAGTCAAGGGAAAAAAAGGTGCTCTCCAATGTAGCTCTTTGTCCTAGGAAAGTGAGTGGTGCTATTCATAGAGTTTCTTTTTTTTAATAAAAGCGTTATTGAAGACACACAGAATATTTGGCATGAAAGAAACAGCAAATAAGAGTTCATAGTTGTCAGGTAAAGCTAAAAACAGCAACAGCAGTAGGGCCAGAGGGGAGGGCATGTGTCAGGGGAGCTAAACTGGATGTACTCTGATTCCAAGGTTTTTTTTTTGGCTACAAAACATTTTTAAAAGGTTTTATCCAAAACACTCATTTTAAGAGAAAGCAAATATGCCACATGTAATTATTTCAATACCTTTAAGTCACCCAAGTCCTATCATCGCACTTAAGAAGCACTGTGCTGATCCCAGATCTAGGTCTATGCAGGGCAGTAAGCATGCATTATTGCTAAGGTGGTGATGGGCCAGCTATGGATGGACTGGCTCTGGGTCTCAGTGCTAGCTACGGGGTGGCAGTCAGCAATCACAGGGAGGTCTGTACCAGGTTTTCTAGCACCACCCAAGGTTGTGAAGTGGTCCAGGCCTGCTAAATCGAGAAAGGTGAATGATGACTCAACAAAACCACCTGGGGACAGAATGTAAAACATGATTTTTCAAAGTAAATTAAAAAAAAAGATTATTTGACTCATACACATGAAAAAGATTTGACACACTATGTAAAATTCAACATGTATTGAATTTACAGTACAAAAATAAAGCCTTTCACGAGGTCCAGATTTCAGTATGATTTTATGTCCATTCAAGGAGGAGGAAAATAGCTCAGACATAAACTATTTCTAGCTTAAGACTCCTGTATACTATCTTATGTACACTTCAGGGTCAGAATGCATTGGGTCACTGTACTGATTTTGACTTGTTAACATTACTTTGATTCTTCCAGAGAAAAGGATAAAATTGGTTAACTTATTCGTAATCTTAAAACCCTTAAGCAAATGAACTACTCAAGCAGAGCTGAGACTACCAAGTTTTCAAAACTGTGCATAGATTTCACTCTTGAAGAAATTTTATAACACATGAAAAAAGCAGCCTGTGTTAGGGGAAAGGACCTTATTTTTTTAATCTCCATCACCCTCTTATCCTCAAACAGGAAAAGCATCATTTAATTACGGTTTAATGATTTCAGCAGGATTTTTGTTTTGGAAACACAGATTTAGAAGAAAGAAGCAATCTGGGACAGAAAGACGATGTTTGGAAGTCATGTCTGGGTGCTCACCTGAGCTGCGGATGCTGGGGCTCCTGTGGAGAGCGCCCCCCCAGGACCATCGGTTGTACTTCTGTCTGGGTTTCTGGCTCCTTTCCATTGTACGCCGTACAACTGCTTCAAGGCGCTCCTTAAATGGAACGAGGAGCCAATGGTTAAATCCGACCCTGCCTTTTCAATTTAAGGCAGAAGGTACTCGCTACATTGTCAAATCTATTTCCTAATTTTTATGCCTTATCTTAAGATGAAAAAAAAATCTACCATTGAAGGTTACCAAAACCCTTAGGTCTCAGTTCATAAACCCTTTGGTACGTAGCAGGTATGCAAATAAATAGCCCTCACAGGGGTGTGATGTTTTCAATGACACACAGCAGCATGACAGTGCAGATCTTAGTTTAAATGGATGCTTAATACATATGGCACCATATTATATTTTATTTACTTCTCTGCAGTGCCAAAAATTGAACTCATGCGAGGCAAACTCTCAGAACTGAGTCTTTTTGCGGGGGCGGGGGTTACTTGGAATCGAACTCATGACCTCACGCTTGCCAGGCAGGTGCTGTGCTGCTGAGCTATATCTCCAGCCCAAGGTAAATTCTCTATCACTAAGCTATAGCTTCAGCCCCAAATTTGTTTATTCATCTGTTCATGCATCCATCCATCCATCCATCCATCCATTCAACCATCCAATCATGACTAGGGATTGAATCTAGCTATGCTTTACCTCTGAGCTATAGGTCTAACATTTTTTTTTTTTTGCAAAAACTGAATAACAACAGTTGAGTTGACTGTTAATAATTATCAGTCCATTCTCTACCTGCCATCTACCCAGCCTAGCACCTGTGCCCATTAAAACTGATTACAGGGAAACCTTTGCACCCTGACCGGACTGCACAGTTGCACAGGCAGTAAGCTGCACTTTGCCAGCAGAAGGACTCCCGTGCCCTTCCCCGAGGGCTGTCTCACCTTATCCTCCTCTAGCCTCTGCCTTCGCTTTTCCTCCACCGCAGCCCTCCTCCGCTCTTCCTTCAGCCGCTGCTCCTCCAGCCTCTTCTTCCGCTCTTCCAGGTGTTTCTCATAGTGTAGCCTGGCTCGCTCTTCTCTTTCCAGCCAGACCATTTCTCGCGCAGCTTCAGGGTAAAGCAGGGAAATCCAAGACGGGTGGGTTTAAACTTTGAATAGTTAGGGCTGTGTAAATGGTTCACATTTAACAAAGATGGGTTCTGTGATCTTATATTGATCGAGGCTGGCCTTTGCTTTCCTCGGATTCCCAGGAAGAAAGCACTACCATGCTGTTACCTTTTAAGAGAATATGCTAATAATGAGGTCAAAGGAGACGCACTGAATTCTACTCTTTTGGAACCAATACAGACCTCCAGTCTGCCAAGAATAAGGCATATATGTTGCCTGCTTTGTCCTCAACTCTGACACTGATACTGATATCCTTATTTGGCTTTCCTTTTCACTGCTTTCAAAATAGCCATTTCACTCAGTTAAATCAGACTCCTTCCTAACAAACCACACCTCTCAGACATCTTTGGTCTTATTACTGCCCTGATGGGAAACGGCCATCATTTATAATCCCAGCGGGTCCATCCTTTAAGCTTCACAACTGTACTGCATGTCAGAATAACGCTTGAACGTACTGGTGTTGGGGGACATAGGGTGAGTTGAATGTCTGTTTAAAATCGAAATTCCTGGGCTCCAATCCTCACATTCAGCTTTACTAAATCCAGAACAGGGCTCAGCATGTGCATGCAAGTGTGTGGGTGTGTGCAACGTGTGTGTTTTAGTTATACTGGGGACTGAACTTGGAGCCTCACACAAGTTATCTGCATTTTTAAAAACAAGCTTCACAGATAGATGTGAGACAAGTGGGCCGCTGATGTTAAGAAACATTGCATCTTAGGGTCTTCTGCAAAAGCGCCATGGCTTCTTGAGCTCACCGGTGTTTTTGTGGTATCTGCCATACACTTCAGCATTTCGTATGTACTAATTTCTGTGTAGCAAAGGTCATTCTCTCCCTGTTACCTTTCACAACTTGAACATATCCAAGAGTCTTAGTAATTACTTACGGATTCACTGGGAACTATGACTTCTTGATTCACAGAATCCTAACTGTGGTCTAGAGAAAGCTGTTCATCTGCTTAGGGTCAGTTGTATCCAGGGTAATGTATGAGCAAGAATAGGACCTTCCTTGCTGGGCATGGTGGCTCAGGCCTATAATCCCAGCACTTGGGGGGCTGAAGCAGGAAGATGACTGAAAGTTCAAGGCCAGCTTGGGTTACACAGTAAGACCCTGTCTCAAAAAAAAAAAAAAAATACAACCTTCTTCATAGATTCACTGTGAGGATTAAAGGAGCAATGACACTTAGAGTAGTTAGAATACACTGTAGTTCTCTGTATAGTACTGAATAAACATTCAGTGAAGGTTAGCTATTACTGTTACCCTTGTCAATTCAGAAAGTTTTTGGTTTTCTTTTCTCTTTTTTTTGGTCTTTTTGAGACAGGGCCTCACTATGCAGTTCAGACTGGTCTCGAACTCACTTTGTAGCCCAGGCTGGCCTCAAACTCGCAACGATCCTCCTGCCTCAGCCTCCCAACTGCTGGGATTACAGATGTGCGCCACCATGCCCAGCTCAATTCGGAAAGTTAAAAGTATTTTTAAGGTTGTGCTATAAATCACAATTGGAATAGGCATTATTACCCCAAATAATCGTTGGAAGGAGAAATATTTCCTTATTCAAATTGTTGTTCCACTTGTTTTCTACCAGGAAATGGCATTCCTCCTATCCTATAGCACTTTCTTTAAATAATTGTCTGTAAACAGTCATATAGTGAATAGGTGAACAATAATGAAATAGCAAGTAACCCTTTCTTGGTACGGCAGAGCATGCTGGTGAGTGCTACAATCAGCTGCTAAGTACGGACCATGCAATCTTTTAGACTGGAGGACAGCAAGTAAGAAATTTCAATATTTTAGTAAGAAGTGAAAGTTAATTTATCCTAACAGTTTTAGACACTTACCATATTTCCTGTACATGATAATCTTAAGATTGTATACACTTTCTCATTAAGAAACGAGAATTGTAAAGGTAGAAATAATTCAGCCATTGCAGTGTGTGTCCTCCAGCCCCAAATCCATGTATTAAAGCTCTAAACTCCAATGGAACTGTATTGGAAATAGGGCCTTTAAGAGGTAATTAAGGTTAAATGAGCTCCTAAGGGTGCTCACAGGATAGCTTATGAGGATTAGCATCCTCATAAGACTGCTCACAGGAGAGCTCCTTCTGCTATGCTGTTCTCAGAGGAAAGGGCACAGGGGGTCACAGGGCCCCTCCACAAGCCAGGAAGGATGCCCTCGCCAGAAACTAACCCAGACACCCATCTGGGACTTCCCAGCCTCCAAGGCTGTGAGATAATAAAAATAATCTGCTGTTTAAGACATGGTGCTCTGTTATGGTAGCCCCATCAGACTAATACAAATCACTCAGTACCATGAACAATCACTTAATTTCACACAGAGGCGTTTATACAAGAATAATAAGCCTGAAACCACAAGACACTGCGATGGATGTTAACCTTTACTCTTCTGAAGTCATAATTTATCCCTGGGTGACAGGATAATAACATGTGACATGAAAACCCAACTGTAGCCCCTGAAATACAAGTCAATCTGTTGAGCTGTCGCTACCAGGATATTCTTATGACATTGTCACAATATGTCAGTGCCATACCAAGGGCAAATGCACTGCCAGTTTGGAATTCACTTAGAAACACAGTAAAGTGACACTTTTCCACTGAGAAGGATTAAGAGGAAAAGCAGGGTACTGAGACAGAGGAACTGTGTCCGTTCACCCAGGTATTTGAGTCCATCCCCACCCTGCCACTTGCCAGCTACCAGCCACTGGACTAGTGATGACTTCCATGGTTCTGTTTCCTCCCATGCCTGGCAGGGTTGTTATGTGTGCTCACGGTAACACAGAGAACTTAGCGTAGTGAATGCACTGAGTAGGAATTCAGCAAGTGTAAATAGTGGCGGTAGATTTTTACGATAATCATCATAATTCCTATCTCACTGTCACAGAGCATGCAGCCAATGGGAAGAACACGAAAGGACAAAGAACTCAGCAAACTCAAGGGCTGGGCGGTGCCCCACCCACCGCATCACATTTAGTGTAGGTTCGCGTCTGCATCGCCCATGTCTCATGCCATAGGAGAGAAAGGAAAAGGTGATGTTTGGAGAATAGAGCCACGTTACCGCTCACTTCCAAAGCATACAGAGCTGTTCTTTCCTTGTCACCTCTCGCTCCCTTCCCCTCGGCCCCCTCATCCCTCCCTTCTGTGTGGCACTGGGGATCAAACTCAGCCAAGTGCTGGGCAAGCCCTCAACCACCAACACACCCCCACTTCCAACCTTCAGCTTCATACTAAGATATGCGAGTGTTACTAGCAACACTGGATACCAAAGCAGCCAGGACCATCCTAAGAGTCGGAGAATGACCAGGGATAAGAACACCTGAGCCTGTTCTTCATGCGGTGTGATCTTTTTTCTAACCTCGAGGGAGAGTACAAAGGATCTCCAAGGCTTTTCCTATTAAACCCTCTGGACTCAATTTTTTGTTTTTACCTTTGAGATTGTGTGACATTACAAGGAGTTTTTGTTGTAGGTCTTTTGCTTCGATTTTGAATGCTGAAGTTTTAACATTTATGCGTTATCTCAATAACTACTATGACTGCTTACATTCAAATAAACGTCATTTTTCAGGTTTCTGTGAACACACTGATTGAATGTATGTGCTAAACGACAATTCTTTAAAAGACAGAGTCTACCAGTTTAATCTAATTCAGGATTTCTAGGAAGGTTGTCATAGAAAAGAAAAATAAGGGAATTTAGAGGTGGAGAAGCAAAAATATTTTACAGGACTTATCTTAAAGCACTCGTGTAGGAAATACTAATTAATTTTATCTAAAAGCTGAGAAATGAGAGTGAGGTGCTCACCGCTAATAGAACAGTACAGCACAGCTTCCAAATGAACCAGGGAAAGTGTAGAATGAATATTCTTTCTTTGCCTCAAAGCAACTCATACCTCACTCTCAGCCTATCCCTACCAGCAACCTTATCCCGCAAAAAAGGGGAAAAAAGGAGGAAATGGTTTAAAAGATGAGCTAGGAATAAAATTAAGCTTATTAAGATCAAGATTCTGCCTGGCATGATGGTGCATGCCTGTAACCCCAGCTACTCAAGGAGGCGGAGGTGTGAGGACTACAAGTTCAAGGCCAGCCCAGGCAACTCAGCAAGACCTTGTCTCAAAAAGTGACAAGGGCTGGAGATGTAGCTCAGGGTATCTTACTTGACTAGCATTATGTGAGGCCCTGGCTTTGTTCCCCAATATGAGGTGGGGGTGGGGAGAACCAAAGGCACTGAGACTTTTGAACTTGGCTGAAAAGAAAAACTAGCTATAGTGGTGAAGAGTGCTTGCTAGCATGCAGAGGCCCTGGGTTTAAGCTCTAGCACACAGGGGAGGAAGAAAGGGAAGAGAGGAAGGGAAGGAGGGAGGGATGAAGGGCGGGAAGGAAGAAGGCATGAAGGGAGGGAGGGAAGGAGGGACGGATGAAGGGAAAGGGAAAACTAAAATTATGAATAAAGCACAAAAATAAATAAAATGAGCAATTAGCTATCTGGCAAATGAAAATAAAGGAAGTCTGAGGCAAGAGGATCACATTTCCAGCCAACCCTGGGAACGCAGCAATTTAGCAAGACTGTGTCAAAATAAAAAATAAAAAGAGCTGGGAATGTATCTCAGTGCAAAGGCCCTGGGTTCACTCCTCGGTACTGGAAAAATAAAGCAGTACTTGTGAGCATTTTACAAGAACAAATGGAATTAAAAGGTCAAATGAGGAAAACTACCCAGAGATGATGATGGTCCCAAGACAACAAGGTCTGGAAGGAGGAGTTGGTTTTTTTGAGGTAGGGTCTCACTACTGAAGTTCAGGCTGTCCTTGAACTCTCTACGTAGCCCCACACTGGCCTTGAACTCACAGAGATCCTCCTGCCTCAGCATCCAGAGTGCAGGGATTACAGGTATGCGCCACCACCACACCTGGCAAGTTAGGTTTTATTTTAGCT